TGGCTGTCGTAAGCACCTGCCAAGGTGTGTCGCATCGGGGATTTGGCAACAATTGAGGACGACGGAGGTAGCGACGGCTGGGTTGTCGCTTTTCGGCGCGTTCAAGACGAGCCTCTTCACTCCCTAGGGCACTGACAGCAGCGGCGAGAATGGCAACATCATCAAGCTCCTCTTCACCTGAGGATTCGCCAGAGCTAGACTGAGCTGATTGCATCGTGAGGAAGGTAATGAAGGAGCTTGCAGAGTCCTGTTAAGGAGTAGAGGCATCGGGCAGCGACCGTGCATGGAGTCATAATCACACGGCATTTGGGCGCTTATTTAGTTGGTACTCGTTACTCTAATATCTCGTCCAAATATGTCGTGCAAAGCAATTTCTTTTCATAATGTGGTAGCAGGACATGTGTAGAACATCTCTACATAGTTTGTTTTCCTTAGTATATTATGCCTCGAGTGTGAGGGCAGACTTCGCGGACCTACTTCATTTGGGCGCTATTTTGCCCAACGAGCGCCGGTACTCCAAGAACTTCTCGGTCTGCGGACTTCTAAATCATGTTTACATTCCTTATGGATACGGGCTGATAATCCGTAGGTACTTTCACTCTCCGCTTGATGTATCTACGGCGGCCGCAAAGCCGCAGAGGCTTATGGAAAGTCATCCAGTATGACACAAAGCCCAACGCGTCCCTCCGTAAGAAGCTCGCCGCCGAGCTCGACATGACTCCCCGCGGTGTTCAGGTACTTTCCTCTTTCGCGTCCCGTGCCGCGTACCGCGCGTCCCCCGACTTTTCCAACCACGCCCTGATCCTCCTTCCAGGTCTGGTTCCAAAATCGCCGCGCAAAAACCAAGCAGCAGACAAAGAAGGCAGAGGCCGCGATTGCCTCAAAGTCCTCCGATTCCACCGCAACTGCCGCTGCCGCCTCGTCCAACCCGCCAATCGCGCCTCGCCCAGAGGGCGACGACGACGACGACGACGCTGAAGACGCAGACGAAGCGCTCCCCGCGTCGCCCCTACCCGAGGGCACAGCACCGGAGAACATCGCGACAGCAGACAGTGCTCCCGCGAATGCGAATGCCAGCGCGCTCCAAGACAACGAACAGTCGAACTCTACTTCTGATAGCCACCGTGGATCGTTCGCGCATCCCCGTCCCGGATGGCCTCCCGTTGCTTCTCCCTCGATCGACTCGGCAGCACCCTCTTCTTCCACAGCCTCTTCCTCTGCACTTAGCAGCCCCAGCCCCGCTAACAACCTTCACGTGCGTCTGTCCACTCACCCGCCCGCAGCGACGTATTCGCACAACCACCTCGCGCCGACCGAGATTTACTCGCAACGGCGTACGTCCCTCCCACCATCGCTTCATTCTAACGGCATGGGTGCCGGCATGGGTGTGGGCAGTCTCCGTCGACGCGGTGGGTACGATCACAACGCGCCTCGACGCTCGACGGACCTCGGCGGCCACCGTCTGGTCGCACACCCATATATCTCCGTCGCCCAGAGTGCGAACGGCCCGCACCACCTCTACGCTGAGGGCGAAGACGGCGCGCACCCGCAGATCAGGCGCCCAATGCTTCCGCAGCGCTTCACTGCGCCCTTCACCCCGAGCATGCACTCGCCGCAGCCTCATCCGCACCACTTGCACGCCCACTCGCAGCCCGTTCTCCCCTCGCATGCGGCACAGCAGCGTCCGCAGCTCGCGCAGCGGCAGCCATACGATACCTCGCCCATCCCCGTCTCTCTCTCGCACTCGCAGGGGTACAACCAGCCGCCGATGCACGCAGGCTACAACCTCTTCGCGCCGCGCCACTCCATCGACGGCTCCGCGCTCGGCCTCTCGCAGGCACATGCGCAGCACATGAGCATGCACATGGAAAGCGGGGGCGACGCGTTCACTAACATGTCCGGCTACGCGCTCTCGCAGCGGCCCGCACCCGCGCCCATCCCCGGCCCGCTGCCGTCGCCAAACTTCTCGTTCGGCGACCCTTTCCCCGTCCCCGGAGGTTCGTTGAGCTCGTCGACGAGCAACTCTGCGTCGGGCACGCCGCCGAACGGCGCTTCCCCGCCTCTTCTGAGTTTGCGGCGCACGAGCGAGAGCGGCGTGTCGGACGGGGACACCGAAGAAAGCAGCGGGGCGCCGCTGTCGCGCTTCGGGAGCATTGCGAGCATCGGTGGGAGCGAGGGCAGCTGGACGAGCGCGTATGTGTCCGAGAACGGCGAGGAGGGCGATGCTTGCGCCAGTCGGCGCCTGAGCTGGTGAGTGCCCGTTTCCACCGTACAGCCGACTGGGTCTCCGTACGGTGCTGACCTGCGGCCACAGCGCATCCAACTTCCTGGACATGTTCTCGGAGATGGATGTCGGGAGCACTGGCGGCACGCCCGCACCACACGGGATGCCCGAGCACCAGCTGCGGCACACGCACTCGAACTCGCACCTCTCCCCGGGCGCGTACGCTGCGCAGCAGGCGCAGGAGCACTCGCCCGATGGTCACATGCACGGCACTTCCGACGGAGACGGATACCCCTCGCCGTCGTCTGCGTCGACGGTCTCCGCGGGGAGCAACAACGGCGGCAACCATACCATGTCCCAAGATACCACGCACCATCAGCAGCACACCGCGAGCGGGAGCCACATACAGGGCCAGAACCACCTGAGGAACACCTCGAGCGAGCTCGCGTACGCGCTGCAAGGCGAGCCGGAGCCGCCCCGGGCGTACCAGCAGCACCAACAGTCCAGCCCGAGCGAGGATGACCCGTCACAGCTGCAATACCCCATGTACGAGCAGCAACAGCAGCAGCAAACTCACAACGGCGAGGGCGACTACACATATGGACAGGACCAGGGCCACTACGCGAAGGGCCCGGTCAACCACTTCCCGACGCTGTACGAAGGGTACGTGTACCCGCACAGCGGCGCGGACGGCCAAATTCCGGAGGAAGAAGCGGCGATGAACCAGCAGGCGTACGCGGCGGGCGCGATCGAGCTCGGGCACATGTGCGTGCCGGCGTCGGAAGGCGTGCACTTCATGGGCGGGTATATGCACCAGTACTCCTAGCGGGCGCATTTTGCGCCTTGCAGGCCCCCTCGACCTGCTAAAACTCTGCTTGTCTCTGTTGCTTCCGACCCTGTTGGAAAGGCACGCGCGTGCGCTGTCTTTTCCAGCATGTACTGTCTATCTCTGCTGCGTCGCTGTCATGTTCCTGTCCCCATCGCTGCCACACTCACTGCCCCGCCCCTGTACCTCGCACGCCCCTCGTTGGACTATCCCTGCTCGTATAGCTACCGCCCCGCCGTACATGTCTGCGCCTAATTCTCGCCCACAAGTCGCTCATTGCCGTCGTTCTCCCCACCGCTGTCCTACACAACACTCCCTCCGTCCCTGCACAACCGCCCACCGATCACTCCCATGGACTTTGCGCCCCGCCGGTCTCCATCTCCATCTCGCCTTATTTACAACGTCGTGTCCATCTTCGACCAGGTATTATACATTTCGCGCAGTCCCTCGTGTACAGCTATATCCCGCATCCGCTCACCGTCCCCTAACACTTATTCGTCATTTTTGCACGCGCCCTTCCCGACGCTCCTTGCCCGCATGTTGCGCGCGCCTGGCTCCCCAGGCGACGGTCTCTCTCGTAGCCTACTGTAGAACCCGTATAGTTGTCTCTACCTGTCGTTCCTTGCTTGTTCGATTATGGGCTTCTCTGATCTGCATCTGTCCGTCTCCTCCTGTTACCTCGTGTGTGCGCGCGCGAGCACTATCACTACCGTGTCTATACCACCGCGGGCGGGCGTTACGTCCGCCCGGTAATGATTCCCACTGCTGTCACTGTCGACGCCCGCCCGCCCTGTCAGTATCATCAATGCGCACCCACAGCGCTCGGGCCCTCGACGGGTACCTACGCGCGACGTGTTGACGTCGCCTAGCGGCGCTGTGCATACATACCGTGGTGCGATCCGTACAAACATACTTGTCCTGCAACCCGTCCACCAGTGGACACTATCAATCACCGCGCGCGGATCGTCTCTATTCCCCCGCACGCCCGTGCTCGCCCCCTTGCAGTATCCCGTCAATGTCGACCGCGCGCATCCCGCGAAGCACGCCGTCGCGCCGCACAGCAGCGACCCGAGGCCGCGGGGACGAACAACGCGACGACCGTAGTTCGCCGGACGGCATCGCATTGCGTGCATGATCGTGATACAGGCGTGCACCGCTGGAAAGACAATGACGTGCGGATCTGCAGTCGGCATCCGCGCGAACTGCATCGTGATATTGACAGAACATACGCCGGCTGCTGTATGTCATGATGATTCGATGGTTAGATACGTTTGTCGCCGATCGCAGCTCTGCTGGGGAAAGGCTCGGATAGGCTCCGGAGGCGTGTGCATCGCCCGGACGGTCCCGTCGCTTCGTGACACCAGGGGGCGATGGCGAATGCTTGTAGTCAGGACGCGCTCGCGCTCCGTCCGAAACCCAACGACAAGGGCATGATAGTAACGAGATGAGATTGGGAGGATCCCGCAAAGGCTAAAGAGCGCCGTTCGCCGGAGCTAGAGCCGCACCTCGTTGCACGGTCGACCTGGGCTTCACCGCTCGATGACGGAATGCAGCGCGCGCCCGTACGTACGTCGGAGGGGCAACAGGCAAGCAGCCTGCCACCCACCACACGAGCACCCAAGGACGCGCGCGGGCGGATCGCAACACGCGTCGCAATTAACCCGTACCCGGGAACTGCGCGCTCTCCAGCAGAAGCGGGCCACTTAGCCTCGCTGATAGATGAGCACCCCCGCGCGGATCCACCCTTCCCGTCTCCCCCCACCGTGCGCGCGTCCGCCCCCGTTACCTCCCCTCGCCCGCCCGGCACAGGCAAAAGCGCCCCTGGGGAAGCGCACGTCAGGTGCGCGACCCGAACAGCAGGCCCGTGGGCGCATGTGTGCGGTCGGCGGTCGCCTGGCAGGCCGGCTGATCACACGTCTGACAGCGCGCGGCTTTAGAGCTTCGTGATATTCGCCGGCGCGGGGTGCGCCATCCCCAGATGCGCGAGCGGGTACGAGTGTGGGTACAACGGGTACTGTCCGTACTGGCGCGACACCCAGGGCGGCGCACCCATCCCGAGAGGTGCGCCGTCAGGCCCATCTGCGTCCGTGCTCCCTCCGGCGGGGCGAGCCGACCCTCCGGGGACGAGGGTCCGTGACGTGAGCATATCGTGCATCTATCATGCGAACCGCCGTCAGCCCAGACTGTGCTTGGATATGTCACTCGGGCGAAGACATACCTGCATGCGCAGCCCGTGCATGGCGGCGCGCATACCTCTAATCTCCTCTGCGGTGCGCAACGACTCCGAGCCCCGTGCGGCGGCGAGCGCACCGAGAGCGCCGGCGAGTGTCCCCAGCGACGAGTGGAGCGTTGCAAGGGTGTCCGGGAGCGGGGTAGTTGGGTCGAGCGGCGGAATACTGAGAGCAGTTGGAGAGTTCGTCGGGATCGCGGTACCTTGGGGATACGACATGGCGGGGACAACACCAGGTGTCGTGTAAGAACTGGGGCCGTACATCACACCAGGACCACCAGGAAGGTATGCGACAGCGGCGGTATTAGGAAATACTGTTGGATAAGGAGTAGTCGGTGATGTAGGCGACTGTGCGTGGAGATGTTGTACACGGGCGGCATCTGTGGAAGCGCGACTTCGACGTGGTCGTGATTGAACGTTCCATGTAGACTCTTCTGGGCTCGGGAAGTACGAAGCTATGTCGGAAGGATCCTCTTGAAGCGGGGGAGGAGAGGATTCTGATAGATCGGTAAGGTCTTGTCCTTGTGCTTCTACAACTTCTGATAGAGGGCCCTCGAGTCCTTCAAATGTTGCGAGGGGCGGCTCTGGCTGCCGATAGGCGTGGAACTGGGGTTGCACATCGGGTCTATACCACGGCCCAAGCGCATGTTTCACAGCGAACATCTCGCTACGCAACTCGTGCACGACGTTTTCCAACGCCGAGAGTCGCAGGCGCAACACGGTGTTTTCCGCAACTAAGTCGGTAGATGGGGGCGGCGTGGGAGGTGAAGTCGTATTTGAGGCATTCGCAACCTGTGCAACACCTCCCGCTTTTGCTTCCGCCTTCAGCAGATCAACATGTAAGAAAGAAGACGTTGATAACTACATGTCGTAGGTTGAGACACACCTTGGGACCGGAGCTCTCGTCGTCGCCCTGACGTCCGCTGTCCCGGGCTACTGCATCGGATGCAGTGCACTCGCACTGGTGACTTTCGACGGTTCCCCTCAGGACGGGCTGAGAACATTCAGGGTTTGGGCAGGCGACTTGGACATGTTGGCAGGATTCCGCGACATGCACTGGTAGAAGAAGCCGTTGACAAGTATGGGAGCAACCAAGATGCTCCTGCGGGCACCGGACAATCAACTCGTCTACCAACTGCCATGAGCGTCAGTACTCCATGGCGACGATAGAGTTGTGCGATAGACAGACATTGCGTATGACGGGATCGGCGGGGGCGAGGTCGTGGAGGGAAAGCGGGGTGCGGTCGATGGGGCAATGACAGTTGATGGAGATGGCCTGAGAGATGCACTCGTAGCAGAACGTATGAAGGCACGTCCTGGCGGTGCATGGTTCGACGAACGGCGATCTTTTGTGGGATTAAAGGCAAGTCCGGGCAGTTGGACGGCTGGAAACACACCTGCAGATGCAGCACACCTAGAGCGGGCCCGGTGAGAATCACGAGCGCAGAGAGAGAATAGCATGACGTACCAAATTAGCATTCGGAGTGTCAAGGTAAGTGTAAGAAGCCATCCTCTGCCTGAGCTGCGAAAGCGAGAGGATCCAGACGGCGGGAAGAATGAGGACTGGGAGCAGGAGGAGGCGAGGGCGGGGAGCAAGGAGGCGGAGCTCGAGGCGGCGTTCAGTCGGCAAGCATTGCTCATCGCGCCACCGGCTCAGGACACACCGGCCCGGGCCGCCTCTCCGATGCACCCACAACCTCCGAGCGTCTGCCCAACATCTCCCCTCTGCGACAACTTGAAGACATGTAGTATCCATCGTGTCTAAAAAGCGTGCACGAGTGACGATGTTCACTCCGTCTTAAATCACACCCAGGGTTACAACCGGCTCACTACACCGCGAGTAACTGTCACTGTGAGGGGGTAGTGGTACACTTGGACAGTGGCCTAGAGTACAGTAACGTAAGGCGAATGATTTCCTCCCCATCCGTCGGCTCAGCGACTCTATCTCACAGCGCTAAAAAAAAAAGGCTGTGGGGGTAGGCGCTCTAGATGTGTATATAACCCTCGCCATCCGGAGGTGGTCTCTGCGTTGCGCGCGCCTGCCCGCGACGACCTCCTTGAGCTGAATGAAATTTCGCATATAAGCAAACGACCTACAGGCGCGATTAACAGGACAGAACAGACCAAGAATATGCTTCGCGCGTGCTCTAGGTGTTGCTTGTGTGCCGCAAGAGCGTTGCTGTGCTTGTCCTTTCGCCAGAACCGACGCCAGGCCGGCTTCCCTCTCAAATGTGTCATAGTCTCGACAATCTTCCTCATCTCTCTGTGATTTTACGATCGACAGGGAGTATTGTTAATGAACGTCGCCAAAAGTGAAGTAGCGAGTGATGTGAGACGCACTCCTCTAGCTCTGCAATATGCTCCTTCGTCTTCTCATCCAGCTCATCCTCCGGCGCATCTCCTATAGCGGCCTTCACAGCTAACTCGACGCCCTTGGCCAAGTCGGCGATTTCCTCGCATTCCTCATAGTTCCGCTTGACCGCCTAGCATCTATTTGTTTAGGCGGCGTTCTCCAGCTTCGTGCGCACACTCACCTCGGCGCGTTGCAAAATCGTAGCAACAACAGATGATATGCCTTGTAGGAATGGAACAGAAGACCCAACGTTCCCGGTGGCCTGAACAACCGCGATAAAGGGGCTGAGTGGAATATGAGAGAAACCTCGTCCGATAGAGCGCATCGTTGTACCAAACTTGAGCCTAGTGACGAGCTTCTTCGAAGCCCGGCGGACTATCGCGAGATGTAGAGGCATGGTGCGGCCGGTGGCGGCGAGTATGTTCGAGGACTGCAGGCGGCGATGGGGGGTGGATATGACTAGAGGAGGCGACAGTGTCGGACGGCATTCTCCCAAGGATAGGTGTCCTTGCATCCAGCCGCACCAACGACGCGCGTAGTACAGCCTCATTCCAAACGTGAGGAATTTGGTCGAACACATGAGCGGGGCAATGCACGGGCGTCATATATTTCCAAGGAACGCTGTCTTGAACTCTTGTTGCGAATGCCTGAGCAGCGCAAAGTTCGGTCCTAGAAGCTCCAAGCCAACTGTTAAGAGAGGACGCGTCGTACTGAAGAAAAAGCCACTCACAAGGAAATGCAGGAGACCTCGGGTCGACCCCGAGGACGTCAAGCATTCAACCCATGAATGCGCTCAGTGATACCACATTTCTTGAAAGGAAAAGCGTTATCACAGCATGGATATGTACTGGTAGAAAGGATTGATGAAGGCCAGCGAATAGCTCCTTACATTGGTCGTTGACAGAGTCCCGCGGCGTGCGGGCGCTGGGGCCGTATGTTGGTGATTTAAGGTCGGGAGATGAGCACGAGGGTAAGTGTTCCATCTGCGTTATGCACTGCAGTAAGATATATATGCTATGAAAGCAAACACGTCAGAGGAGGTAACAGTACTTTATCAACTAGGCTAGAAACATTGGCGAACGCCATACTCAACGCCTCGGCAAACGCCGGAGTGCATTTGGGCGTTTATCACGCCGCAGAGTCCAGCGGAGAAGTCAGATCCATACGCTTCCATACGCTCCTCCGCTCGCCATCATGCGCGCGCACATAGTTATGTTGAGACGTATATCGCTACTTTCGTTGAGGACCTACGCACTCGCGGTCAACAACTATGCCAGCAGCATCGATCGAGAAATATGAGCGATCGGCGGAGGAGCCTCGGACCGTGAGTCGCCATGTCCTCCCCCGCGGTCCGGTACGGTCGAGCTCCTGACCATCTCTTCTCCCCCAGCACTCATAAGTACCCCACAGATGGCGGGCGCAGTATCCTCGACCTCTTTGCCAGCTAACCATGTCCTCGTTCGCGAACACGACCCCGTTTGCGTCCAACCCGATCACCACCAAGGCTGAGCTCGCGCAGTATCTTACCGGCATCCTCGATCCCCTTGCGCCCCATACGTCCCCAGGCGGCGCGCGCATCCACCTCGGCTTTACCGGCACACATTACGATGAGGCCGCCGCCCAGCTCGAGGGCTTCTCGCGCCCCATCTGGGGGCTCGCCTCCTTGCTCGCGGGAGGCGGCTCGTACCCGGGCGTAGAGCGCTGGGTCAGAGGCTTCGCAAACGGCACAGACCCGGATCACGAGGAGTTCTGGGGCAACATGCGCGACAAGGACCAGCGTATGGTAGAGTGTTCTGCGATCGGGTTCTCGCTATCCGTGGCCAAGGAGCAGCTTTGGGACCCACTTCCGGCGGAAGGCAAGCGCCATCTCGAAGAGTGGCTCGGAGGCATGAATGACAAGGAAATGCCGAACACAAACTGGCTCTGGTTCAGAGTAAGTTCTTTTTTGGAGTAGATACGTACACTATGCTGACTGTGCTTGCCCAGGTCTTTGCGAACCTCGGCCTCTCAAAAGTCGGCTCTCCACGCTTCGACGGAAAGCGCATGAAGGCGGACCTTGACCACCTCGACACTTTCTACATCGGTGACGGGTGGTCACGCGATGGTCCCGAGGGCGTGGTTCAGCTCGATTACTACTCTTCGTCGTTCGCCATTCAATACGCCCAGCTGGTCTACTCCAAGCTCGCGCAAGCGGAGGACCCGGAGCGGTGCGAGGAGTTCCGCGATCGCGCCCGCAAGTTCGCCCTAGACTTCGTGCACTATTTTGATGAAGAAGGTAGCACCTCCTTTTATACGGACCCGGTCATGAGTGGACTACGCTCACACGGCTAAAACAGGACGCGCGATCCCGTTCGGAAGAAGTCTCACCTACCGCGCCGCGATGTCCTCATTCTGGGGCGCCCTCGCCTTCGCCGACGTCGATCCTCCTGCCCCCCTCACCTGGGGCGCCGTAAAGGGCCTCCAGCTCCGCAACCTCCGCTACTGGGCGCGCCAGCCCGGCGCATACTACCCCGACGGCACCTTCACGATCGGCTTCTGCTACCCGAACCACAACATGACCGAGAACTACAACTCGCCCGGGAGCCCGTACTGGTTCTGCAAGTCCTTCATTCCGCTCGCGCTCCCGGAGTCGCACCCCTTCTGGGCGTCCGCCGAGGAGCCGTACCCCGCCGCGCTCCGCAACACGGTCAAGCCGCTCTACAAGCCGCTCCACATCGCGTGCAACCTCGGCGGACACACCTACATCCTCTCCTCCGGCCAGCAGTGCTCGTACCCGGTCAAGCAGAGCGCGGCCAAGTACGGCAAGTTCGCGTACTCGTCCGCGTTCGGGTACAGCGTGCCCGTCGGGAGCCTCACGCTCGAGGAGCACGGTGCGGACAGTGCGCTCACGCTGAGTGCCGACGACGGCGAGACGTGGAAGCTCCGCCGCGAGACGAAGGAGGCGCGGTTCGAGCACGGCGGGCGCTGGCTGCGCTCGATGTGGTACCCGTGGAAGGACGTGTCCGTCGAGACGTGGCTCGTCCCGCCTACGCCCGACACGCCGCTGTGGCACCTGCGCGTCCACCGCATCCGGTCCGCGCGCGCTCTCATCTCCGCAGAGGGTGGCTGGGCGATTTACGGGCAGCGCGCGGACGACAGGGCGTTGGAGCCGTCGACCGGGGAGGCGTTCGGCACGCTCGAAAACGGGAGTGAGGCCCGCGCAACGTCCAAGGCGGGCGTTTCTGGAATCGCGGAGCTTGGCGGCAGGGCGAGTAGGAAGGGCAAGGCTATGAGGACGGACTCGAACACGAACCTCATGGTCCCTCGTGCAGTCCTGCCGACGCTCATAGAAGAACACGAGTCTGCTGGAGGGGACACATGGCTGGTCACCGCTGTGTTTGGCTTGCCTTCCGTGAATGGTGCAAATGGTGCGGCCGCCGGATGGGAGGCGGAGTGGAAGAAGCGACCCGTGATTCCAGAGGAGATCTCAGCGCTCATGATTTGAAGAGATGTTTATCATTGTATTTTATAGGCCTAACATACGGTTTTGCATTCGCCAGTTCGTCCCCAACCCTGGAAGAGCTGAACGACAGTGAGCAACACGCGGACCTTGAGTCCAGTCCCCCTAGCTTCCACCATTGCTTTCGTACCCCGTTCATTCCGTCACGTATCGCCTGTTCCCTGTCTCGTTCCTTGGTCAGCTGTTTCCTCGCACTCACCAACAGAAGACAGCGCGCGTACCCTAGTAGCCAGATGCAGTAATTTTTTCTAGGTACCGATTATCTGGAGTTCTTCTGAGGCGGTCCAATACACCGCCATCTCGTCACGACTCATCTGCCCGGGAGCGATGTGCTTGCCGCGTCCCGTGTGTTTCTGCGTTTAGTGGATGACGTAGTACTCCGGTAGACACGAGGTTTCCTGCATTTCCTTGTGAGTAGCTTTTTCGTCAATATGACGCGTCGTCGCTGACATTTTCTCTCGAGGCCACAGAACTGGAATTCGCGCTGCGCAGACCTTTCCACCGAGGGCAAATTGGAATCCAATGACGCCCATGCATTGCCCCGGTCATGTGTTCGGCCAAATCCCTCGCGGTGGTATGAGGCTGTACGAGCGTAGTGGGTGTGGTCGAATCCAAGTACGCCCATCCTGGGGAGAGCCTGAGTGCAACCCGACACTGTCGCCTGCTACCTACCCGTATCCGCCGCTGCCTGCAACCCTCGAAATTACTCGTCGTCGTCCGCCGCACCATGCCTTTTCAGCTCGCACCAGCTCGCCAGGCCTCGAAGAAGCTTATTGCAAAGCTGAAACCCGTATGGCTCGGGAAGGGGATGCGTTCCATCGGACGAGGTGCCTCGCGAATCCCACTCGGGCCCGTCATCACGGTGGTACAGACGACAGGCAACGTCGGGTCCGCTGTGCCTTACCTACAAGGAGTCTCGTCTCTAGTGGTATCGATTCTGCAACGCGCCGATGTGAGTATACGAGCTATTTGATCCCGCACGATCACCACTAAAAGACGTGACTTTTTGCCAGACGGTGAAGCGTAACCGCGAGGAGTGCGAGGAGCTAGCTTGGTTAGCCAAGAGCGTTGTATCTACGGTGGGGAACGTCACTAGAGACGTGCCTGAAGACGAGCTGGATGAGAAGATGAAAGAGCATATCACCGAGTTGGAGAGGTGCGTTTTGTTCGTTGCGTCTTCTCCACCGCGTTGACCACGGTTCGCATTGTCGCATTCGACAGAAACATGACGGAAATCATGAAGACGATGAGACATCTGCAGGACAAACCGGTCTGGCGCCGGTTCGTGCGCAAGGACAAGCATAGCGACGCTCTGGCGAAACACAAACAGGGGTTAACGCACGCGTTGGCGATGTTCCAGGTCGGTCTCTTTCTGTTCACGGTATCCATACATTCTTGTTAACCCAATGGAATTTGAGCAGACAAAGGAGCTCGTTGCGATCAGGCATGCGCAACACCGAGACCACGTACAGACGGCGGCCACCCTGCAGGAGCTCCAGACTGCCGGGGTTATATACTCATCTACCGCGCTTATCTTTCACCGCCTTTTTTTTTAGCGCTATGATGTAAACTTCTGGGCTTCGAAGCCCTTGCACCGCGGGCATATCCGCATGTTTCCAGATAAATCATTTTGATAACACGGTAATGACTGAAAAAATGCCACCACGTTGTTTCACCATGCGCTATGCTTCGAACATACAAAGAACATTGTGTACTGTGTGGAACATCGTGAATACATGCTTGGGACATTGAAAACACCCCATGTGTTCAGCATGTTTTCACGGTATTCCGATCACCAACATACAAAGCTCATTTTTTCAGTTCTCACAATGATTTCAGTATGTCGTTGAGAAGAGCATGCTTATTTGCCCGCGGTGTTGTGCGCACCCGTTCCGTGTATGTCTTCTCTTTATGGTAGTCGCGCGTTTAAGCGCCTATGCTCTCTCTCTCGCCTCGTTCCCCGTATCTCGGACGATCCCGCTCGCGCGACTGCCTCGTGCGCTCGCTCACATATACCGCCCATCTCGCGTCGACCGGTGCTTCAGTCTTTCCCCCACTGAAGCACCGGTGAGTCCTTCCGTAGCTTCTGTCTCCCAGTATGTCCATAAGCTCATTCCATGCAGTCCTCCCTAGGTACCTAGCTATGCAATACATATGAGTCTTTCCCCCACTGAAGCACCGTCCTCCCTAGCTCCTCCCGTCGTCGGCTCGGACCTCGTTTAGACTTCTATGCTCTGGTGAGAAGTCGGTCTGGCTATACGAAACCCTAGGAGCACTGCCTCAGAGTCGCGGCGGCAGCGCTTCTATCTACTTGCTTATCCCCACGAGTACTTGCATGACTGCGTTCCTCTCAGGTTGCTCAGCAAGGGCCCCTAGTTTGCCATCTCCAGCTCCGAGTTGTGGGTCTCTGCGCATAAATTTATAAATGCCAGCACAAGAACTGTGCCCGTTGAATTGAACTTCGACTTTCAAGCTGTCCAGGATCCGTGTCTTTCATGTGTCATAGATGGCGGACAAAGCTCTCAGCCAAGCTCCGTTTTTTGCCCCATCCCCCCAGATGAACGTGTGTCATCAATGTCGAGGAGAGCGTACAACCAACGATAGTGATACAACGCACTACGAACAACAAGCCGAACTCAAATACCACGCCACGTCTACCCGTGTACTTCCAGAATCCCATCGTCTTCCTCGTCTTCCTCCTCCTCATCGTCTCCCTCGTCTTCCTCGCCACCCCGCACATCGGGCTTTGTATCCTCCGCGTCCTCTTGAGCGTCGGGCTTCTTGTCCGCCTCCTTCATAGACGTGTCCTCAGCGGCAGCCTCAGGCAGCCCTTTCGACTCCTCCGCGTGCTCCGCAATCGACGGAAGCGGCAACGTCCCGGAACGGGACTTCTCCGCCTCCCCAGCATGCGCAGCATCTTCCATATGCAACGGAGCGCCCGCCGTGAATGCCTCTCCAAGCGAGCTCACAGTCGACACGGCCATGTCCAGGACCGCCTCGACGCGCTTCCGCAGCGAGTTGCTCTCGCTCGTCACAGTCTGCCAGTCTCGCAGTTAGCTACGACACACACTCGTCTTTACACAACGCGTAACTCACCATAGTGCGTAAGTTGATCACCGCCAGGGCTTCGTGAATCTCCACCACCAGCGCCGGCTCGCGATCCTCCTCGGCCGCCTCCTCGTCCATCTCCTCGGGCATGTGCAGCTCGACCGAGTCGAAGTGCTCCTCGAGGAACCACGCGAGCCGCTGTATGCGCGTCACCGGGTCGGTCACGTCCGCGTGCGGATGTGCGTGTTTTGGCGCATGGGTGTGGCTGTGCGCACTCGTCGTCACTGGAAAAGTGGTAGACACGGTCAGTAGGCGTACTGGGATAATCCGAGAAATTACTAACGCTTCACGGAGGCTGGGCTCTTATCGATCCCGGTGATGAGCCCGAGCGTCGAGTCCGCAATCATGTCGTTGCTCGCACTCGAGTCCCACTCCAGCGTGAGCTCGTGCTCCGACGTCTGCTTTACATCGACCGCGCCCATCACCTATTCTTCCATCAGTACCCAATACTCCAGTCGACGCTAAATGAGGGACTGACCCGCATGGTGACAACCCCGTCCTTGTCCATACCCTCCTCAACAGCGCCAAACATACCCTCCAAATGCCACCGTACGAGGTCCCAGCCGACCCCAAGCGCAACCTTCTGGCGCTGCGTGACCACGCACGTCGTGAGCCCCGCGAAGTCGCGCAGGTCGCGTGGGTCGAGCAGCGTGTACGAGTAGTCCTTCGACACTAGCAGGCCCGAGATGATGTCGTTCGGCTGTGGGGGCTTGTTCGCAAGCGTGCCGATTGCCTAGCAGATCCAGTCGTAGGTTAGGCTTCGTATGAATCAGGGATTGGGGATTTATGAGGGACGGCGTACCTTCGCCACACGCTCGCTGCGGAACGTCAGCTCGAGCGTGTCGAGGTTCCGCGGGGTGTGGATTTTAATCTCCTCGTCCCGGCTTTTGTACCTATCCTGCATCGCAGCCTTCAGACGGCCCATACCGGTCGCCTCGCCGTGTACCAAGACCTTGCATTAAATCAGCTACCAGGCCCCTGCACGGACAGACTCAACGAGCACTCACAATATGTTGCGGCTTCACGAGTTCCATGAACTCAGAGTTCTGCGAGTAGTCCACGTGCGCGCTGAACGACATGTAGTCGACCGAGATCTTTCTCGGGATCGTGTTGCCCTTCATCGTGGTGATCTCTTCGGGCTCGGTGAGGATTTCCTAGTGATACCAAGGGTAAAAAGGGCATGAATACCGACTCACACGCTCACAGGCCAGCCGCACACGCCACGAAGAGGAGGTGAAACGAAACCGTCCATTGCTTCGCATGGTACATACAACATGGACACGAGACGATACACGACAACGACGAAGCGCGGGCACGTCCTGAGGTAGTCACTCACCCTCGCCATCGTTCCTTCGATAGAGTACCCCGTGACGATCAAGCCGTTCCGTCCGTCGGGCGCCCAGAGTTCCAGGAGTTCGCGACTGGGTCCTGTCTGCATGAAGCCGGGGGAGGCGAGTACCACACAAGGAGGACCTTCAGCAATTTTGCGCTCCCATCCTCGCGTACCGGGTACATTTGTGATGTGTCTGGGAATATATGTTAGCGGCGTCCGCAGACGATTGAGCAAACGACATACTTGAATACAAAGGGGTTGTCGTGTTTCGCGAATCGTGTGCGTACGTTCGCATTCATGGTGTGGATGTACGTCTGATACACAGCCATACACTTCCGGGCGAGACTTGACGCGTAGTACACTGGTACATTGTGGAGGTCCGGATGTTTCGCCCAGTACTCGTCCAAAATCAGCAGCAGTTCCTGAGCACGACCCAAGGCGAACGTCGGAAGCAGAACGTGACCGCCGCGGCGAATGATAGAGTGAACCAAATTCGTGAAGCGCGTCTCCTTGTCTTCTCGAGGCTCGTGGCTCTGGACACCGTAGGTGCTCTCGACAATCAGGACGTCAGGGTGGACGGGTGGAATCTCGGCCTTGACCAAGTGTCGGTCCTCTTCTCGGGAGTAATCGCCAGTATACAGAATTTTGAGCCCAGCAATGTCGATGAGGAACATACAAGCACCGAGGACGTGACCAGCGTGGTAGGGCGTGAAGGTGACACCAGGACACGGGTTGATGACTTGGTGAGCAGACACAGTAGTGATAGACGCAAGAGACATAGACATTTCGAGTGGGGTGAACAACGTATCCGTTGATGATGAACTGGGAAGGAATGTTCAGCAGCCAGCTAGAAGACGTGCGGGAGAACGCACCTCATGCGAACGAAGTCCTGCATCATGAATTTATGGAGAGCCTTGGTAGGGTGGGTCATGTACACCTTTCCCTTCCCATTTTTGAAGTTCGTCTATAGCGGTATAAGGCTCAGTCATGAAGAGATATGTTTGCGGCGAACCTTCTCCATGATGTACGTGAGGGCGGCTGCATGGTCCAGGTGAAAGCTACCTAATTGTGAGGACAGGTAGCGGAAAGAACACAGGCAGAACATACTGAGTAATAAGAAGGACATCGACGGTACTCCAGTCCAGTTCGTCTATGAACGGTAGAGAGGCAATGCCGCTGTACGCGGGGTGAACACCGGCATCACAAACAATGGTCCGACCACGATATTGCAAGACACAACATGAGCGGCCAACTTCCTGCCCTGCTCCTAGAAGCGTGATGCTCAGTTTGGGTACGTCCGCCATCAGAGAAGCGACGCAGGAGAGAGAACAACAAAGCGAGAAAACGAGCGGAGGGGAGACGACGAGGGCAGGAGCAGAGAGACGGTCCGCGCCGCTGACGCCCAACCGGACGAAGCACACCGTTAGACGCCCGCACATCCAGACCGTACGCGTGCATTCGACTTCCACAACATATATACGAGCTGGCCGGCACCGAATTGAACATGTGCGGGTCTCAAGTACGATAGATAGCACCACTGTTGCACGCAAAGGACTGAGCTGAGTGGACATAAATATCATCCAGATCCCTTCGCATTACAAGAAGCATCTACAACTACTTAGTGCTACAATCCTTCCCATTTTTGAACTTCCGTTCCCTCACTCTACTCATCCAGCCAGTCCAAGAATTGCGGGGTGAAGTAGGTCAAGATCAACGTGCACCCTGCAAGCATCTAGTCAGCTTCGCCGGTCAGAATCCAAGGTGGTAGACGTCAGCTCACCTGCCCGAACCATGCTCTCCACCGTCTCGAACGCCATCGTGCGCAGGTCGTACACCCCTGCGCGCGCACCGGCCACGACCATCGCGTACTCGCCGCTGACCTGGTAGCACGCCAGTGGGTGGTCGTGTGCGAGCTCTTTCGCGTCCTGAATGACGTCCAGGTACGGTAGAGCAGGCTTCACCATGATGATGTCCGCGCCCTCCTCCACGTCGCGTTTCTACGTCCAAGTCAATATCTAGTTGAACTGAGTGTGTGGTGTATACTCACAATAGCACGCCGCGCGAGGCCCTTCGCCGTGGGCGGGAGCTGGTAGCATTTCCGGTCACCGAACGAGGGCGCGCTCCCTGCCGCGTCCCGGAAGGGCCCGTACAGCGCGCTCGCGAACTTCGCGGAGTACGCCATGAGGGTGCAACGGTTCCCGTACCCGTTGTCAATGAGCGCGCGCTTGATCGTCTTGATACGACCGTCCATCATGTCGCTTGGGGCGACGCAGTGCGCGCCGGCACGCGCGTACGAGAGGGCGACCTCCGCAATGCGCGCGGCCGAGGGCGTGTTGTCGATGGTGCCGTCGGTCCTGAAGAGGCCACAATGACCGTGGGAGGTGTACTCGCAGAGGCAGACGTCACACGCGATGTAGAGCTCCGGGAAGAGCGCGCGGAGCTTGCGCACGGCCAGGATGACGGGTCCGTTGGGGTCGTCTGCCGGGCTACCGCGGTCATCCTGTAGACATAGAATTAGCGTGATAACTAGCGTAATGGAAAGGCTGCACGTACCTTTTCGCAGCGCATGGGGACACCGAAAAGGATCACACTGCGAAGGCCCTTCTTTACAAGAGGACCGAGGAACTCCTCAAGCTTGTTAACACCCCACCTGGCCTGGCCGGGAAGCGAGGGAATGTCGACGTATGCATCGGGGTCGTCGGTAATGAAGATAGGGTACATGAGCATAGACTTTGTGATGCTGCGCTTCGCCTGCCATGAGCGGGAGAGCGGGTGCTGGTAACCACCCTGGAGAACGGAGCTGCAGGAGTGAAATGTCGATTCAGCATACACAGGCGTGGGCGAGGGCGGGCGCGGTACTGACGAGATGTCCATGCTATCGAGTGCGGCGGGGGTGTGGGTGCGGTCTGTGGGTTGGTGGGCCACGATGCGCGCGGTCTTTTGTAGGATGGGGGAGGGTGTGAGAGGAGGGACGTGTCCCTGCGGGTTCCGGTGCTCGGCAGTGGGATGGATGAGAGCGCCCCTCGGCGTCTCCTCCCTCTCCCCCCCTCCGAGCTCTCGCGGTCCCGGCCATTGTCCCCTTGCCGCCTCCCACACCCTGTCCCGCAACGTGTCTCTTTCTCAGTAAGCATTGCCTCGAGCACGATACTTGCAACGGTATTGCCAATGCTGCCAGGACCGCGCTTGTCTCTGTGATCGACACAACCTCTGTCCTTACCAAATGCAGGCGGTCGCCTCGTCAAATTCGCAACACATGGCACAAGCTTCTTTCCGTCCTCGTGGTCGGTATGCGGCAGGAGTGGCAGGGATTGCAGGGTGTGAGCTCGGAGGCTATAGGAAACACCACTTCACTCCGTACGCCATACATCTGAATGATCATCGCTTCTATGCCCACCTGCAAGGCACACAAAGCACCCTGTCTGCTTCATCCTTATTGCTAACCAGCTCCTCCAGGCTTCTCCATCGACTTTCAAATCAAATCAATCACACATCGTCTACTTCAGAGAGACCGAGCATGTCGGTAATTCAAGTAGCATGCCAGTCCAGCGACTCCCGCCAACTCTATCGACCACTATGTGTCCGATACATGCATGCACTCAAAAGTATGAACAATAGTACGTCAAGCAATATGAATTCATATAGAGAATCTAGTATGTTCCAAAATTGCTGCAGCGACACCTGGTATGTACGTTCCTGACGCTCATCCCACGAAAGGTGCCACACGAAACGCTCGGACGTGTGCTGCCAGGGCTGTCGGAGCGCAAGTCGTCGATCGCCCCTCTTACCCGACTGGATCTCGACAACAGACATGGGCGAGCGCGCTGGAAAACCGCCCCCAGCCGTCCCCCAGTATTAAACGTCAAAACCTGCAGCCCTATCCGACGAGGCTACGCGACTGCTGTAAGTCCGACAGTAGCAAAGCTCCCCAGCACCCTAAACCTGGTCGTGGAAGCGGCATCAGGCCTGCCGTAAGTGCAAGTTACTCGCCCACTAGGACTTCAGGAGGTACGCGGGTCTAGGTGTGTATCCCGGCGTCCTCCCCGCATCGCCGCCCGAAACGGCTGTTCATAATGTTTTTTCGATGGGCCCATCGTTCTGATAATAGCTGTAACGGACCCCCGGATATAAAGCACCGCCTTGGCTGGCCGCAGTCTCGGATTCTATCCATTACTTATAAGAGGTGAACGTTTGACTCGCGGTTGACGATGATCCCACCGCGATACTCTCATCCCTCCGAGTCACATATAGCAGCACAGCGAAGACCCAGCGACTCGACGCATACCTGCATCATGTCCGCACTTCCGTATACAGCAGGGGCAGCCGTCCTCCACAACCCCGACCTGCTGCCGGAGATTTTCAAGCATCTCGCACCGTTCTCGGAGCCGCTCGCGCTGGCACAACTTGAAGAGCCTCCCGCAGACCTTCTACTTCCGGAGCATACATATCTGTGCAGGCGTACCCTTGTGGCCGCAGCCTTGACCTGCAGAGCTTTCGCGGAACCCGCCTCGAGCGTGCTCTGGCAAGTTCTATACAGTGGACTGCTCCCTCTCCTCTGTCCTCTTTCCGCCTTCAGGATCGTAGCCGATGGCAACGATCGGACTACCAGATATGTGAGAGAACGCAGCTGTGCAGTCACTGACAGGCACTGACATTGTTGCACCCCCACAGGTGATTGATTCAGACGACGTTCACCTTGAAGACCTGGCCCGATGGACACACTGCACCCGCAGGGTACGGCATCTAGTCCTCAGTCACACCGAGAAGTCTCTGCTTGGGGCACCGTTCGTCCCCTTCTTCCTCCTGTGTGCCATGAGGGCAGGAGAACCTATCCTCCCTCTGCCCCAAACAATCGCCTTCAAAGAAACTTCCGACGGCTATGCGCCCTCGGAGCTTCTTCGTGCCTGCCTCTCGCCCACTTTGTCTAGCATAACGGTGATGAGCAACATCCCGCACTCCTTTAGCGTGCACCTTGACGGCGACCTGAGGATGCTGTCGACAATGTGCGACAACGTGCAGCGCATCACCATAATGAGCCACGACATGGTGCTCTGTAACCCTCCTCTCACCGGATTCCGTCGGCTGCGTGCTGTGGACCTCGGGCAGATTGCCTGGGAAGAGAGTAGACCTGTCATGTCCCAGCTGCGCTCTCTGGAGAAACTGGAAGAACTGCGGGTCGGCTTTTGGCACGACAACTACGGGGTGTCCCAGCCTCCAATCAAACCGGACCCCAAAGGCTTCCTCGCCCTGCGCAAACTGCGACTCGTGGGAACAGCACCCATCACCGGCCAATTCCTCTCCTCCATCGGCGCCACGTCGCTGCAGCACCTCGAGGTCGTGCAGACAAGAATGAATTCCTTCGCCGACTTTGACACCCTGGTGAGCGCGGTTCCCTGGGTGCAGATCACGCCCTCGCTCCGACGGCTCTATCTGGCCCTCCATGCGGAGCTGCACACACTTCGATTCTGCGACAACAACCCCGTCCACGCCCCCTTCTTCAGCGTCCTCGCACCACTGGCCGACTTGCACGCGCTCGAGACACTGGAGGTCGCTACCTGGAACAGGGTTATCTCGATCTCGGACGACGCTGTCGCTCAGATGGGCACCGCCTGGCCCCGCCTGCAGCACCTCGCCGTCACCGTCTCCTCAACCTTCACACGCGGGCCCGACGCTGCTCTCTTCACGCCCTACGACGCCGAAATCGCCCGGCCCACGCTCTCGGGCCTCATACAGCTCGCCGAACGTTGCCTCTCTCTCGCCTATTGCGCCATCGACGCGGCGTCTGTGTCCGAGGCAGAGCTCGTTGCGCTCGAGGAGCACTGCGACGCCTTTTCCCCCGCACGCGTACAGAAGATCCAGGGGGGCTTGGAGCAGCTCGTCCCCGCGCGCCGGGCCCACAGCAGCCACTTCACGCTTCCGGACGTTGACCGGCTCGCACACGCGCTGCATTCCCTCTTCCCGTCCCTGGAGGGCGTGAGCGTGCGCCCCGAGCTTGACATCAACTTCCCCCCGACGCTCCTCCCTTTTGAACGGGAAAATTGGGGTTTGTGGTCCGAGGATGAGCAGGGGGCAGATGTGTTCCGTCTGCTGGAGAGGCTCAACGAAATGACGAAAAAGGCGGCGCCCTGAAACGCAGGTAGTATGCCCTGTGTCACGTATATGGTAAATTTATGCATGTAAGATCTGGTGCACTGGGGACATCATGCGGATAGTTGGGCGAGAGCACAGACTTTATGTGCGATTCCAAGTCCCAGTGCGCTACATTGAATACAACATGCGGCATGGACAGAAACTAGTCGAAACACGTAACAATCGAGGCAGCGTCTACAGGTGAATCGGCGCGCTCGGGAGGCGGGTAGTGCAGTGTGGCTATAGGGAACACCACTTCACTCAGTACGCCATACATCTGAAGATCTGAACGATCATCGCCCACAAAGCATCCTGTCTGCGGCTTCGCCTTTATTGCTGCCGCTGTGTACGGCAAGAATGGCTACCATGCGCTCGACCGTGATATCACTACGCTCGCGCACACAAGTTATGGGACGTGCAAAGTACATACTAATGACGCTCACTCCTTCCATCAACTCCGCATAGGCACCTGCTTACCTTTGCCACTCAAGTCAGACGAACTCCTTCCCAGTGTCTCCAAAAGTTATAGCACACTGGCTGTTTCGCGCTCAGCGCACCTCAGATGACTCTGGCATTGCTCAGACTCACGCTCGCCCGGCACCGGTCCGTCCCAATATCACATATCTCCCATCTGCGCCCCACTCCCGCCCTCCAAACTCTCCGTCCATACACCACCGGCAAACCTGCACGCAAAATGGGCAAGAAGAAGTCCTCCGTCCCCGCCGAAGAGCATCTCTTGTTGCCCCAGCACCCCGGCCGCCCTGACGCGCAAACTACGCCCATCGTAGACACGCACACGCATCTGCTATCCACATTTTCGTGCTACCGCAGCAAGTACAAGGAGGGCAAGCACGACACGGTCTACGACTTCGTGCGCGAGCTATACCGAGGCCATGGGGTGGACGCGATCGTGGACGTGTACTGTGAAGCTCCGGTCACGAAGCAATGGCGGGAGCTCGCGGACTCCGCGCTCTCGGAAGAAGACAGGAGGGTGAAGTGGGGCGGACTCGAGTATTGGTTTGTTATGGGTTAGTCCAAATCCTACCATATATTGTCAAAGGCTTGAAGCCTGACTTCGAATGGTACAGGTGTCCATCCGTGAGTTCTAGCGAAAGTGAGGCAAGCATCCCGCTCATGCCATTCGGCACAGGCACGAAGCGAAGGAATACAATGACGACGTAGAACGCGATATGTCAGTCCACGCTCGTCTGCACGGTGGGCTGCACGACTGACTACGGCATGCAGATTGGAAGCAATGGCGCATCCGCGCTGTGTGGGATGGGGCGAGATCGGGCTCGACTACCACTACGACAACTCTCCGCGCGAGCAGCAGCAAGAAGTATTCATCCGCCAGCTCAAGCAGGCCGTGCGGTTAGGAAAACCGCTGACCATCCACACACGAGAAGCGGAAGAGGATTCTGAGCGCATTCTCAAGGAATACGTCCCCAAGGATCATCGGGTAAGCCGGTATCACATCCTACCTACGAGCAAGTTAATGCTGAAACGGCCGTTAGATACACATACACTGTTACACCGACTCACCCGAGTGGGCCGCGCGCATGCTGGAGCATTTCCCCAACCTCTACATCGGGATCACAGGTGCGTGCCCACCACCCCGTCTTAGTGTCCGACATTTTCCATCTCACCTTCCGCTCACTCACAGGCGTCATCACATACGCGACGAACCTCAACACTTCCGCAGTCATCCGGCAAATGGCTGCCGCCTCCGCCTCCCCTCTGCGCATCCTGCTAGAGACGGACGCGCCATATATGGCCCCGTCCAACATCTACAACACGCTCAAGAACGTCAAAGGCCGGCTGCCGATCTCGCACTCGGCAATGATCCCGTGGACTGCGGAGTTCACGGCGGATATGGCGAATGAGACTGCCGCAGAGGGCGCGCGGTGGGACGCCGAGAGGGTCCTGCGGGAAGGCAGAGAGAATGCTAAGCAGATGTATGGCGTATGAGCGCACGGATTTATAGATTTGGGTGCTCGAGCCATGCCGCAGCCGCGATACCTCAACCGCCTCCAGCATTATTCTGGCCGTGTCGCCGCGGTCCTTGCGAATTGGCGAATTGCAATTGTAAAGAATTGGACATCGATCTCGAGGGAACGCAATGCATACAGGCACCTAACATCACATCTTCGACACGCAGACACCAGGATACTACACCACTTGCCCTCCACTCAGTTACCGCCAGTCCAGCTGTAGCGAAGTGATCAGTTAAGACATGCGCTGTGGGATAGTAACAAGAGAACGCGACGTACACTGCCGGTCCAGGGATCGGGTACGTAGAGTCAGGGTTGTCGTACACGTCGAACACGATGCCGGGTCTATTGCGCACGCTCAGCATCCGCGCCAAACAGCAACCCATGCAGCACGAAACTCACGTGTCGGGGGTGTATGCGCCCGGGAATGCCACCAGCCCAGAGGTAGGCAACGCGTTCCCGGTGCCGGTGACCTCAATCTGGATGCACGACGGGTAGAGCTGCGCGCCCGGGTAGGCGAACGCGCCGTGCAGCGCGATTCTAGATGAGCATTGCGAGGTTATGTCAGTCCGAATCCACGCAGGAGCCTGGTAGGGGTAGGACGAACATCTCGTGTCGGATGATGTACTGGCCAGCCTTGAGCTTGGGCGGGATGGTGATAGTGTAGATCGAGTCCGTCGCGTACAGCCCGTCCGTGGCTGCCCACTTGCCGTCAGCGGTCTTTCCAGCTTCGTCGATCTTGAACCACACCGAACTGTTCCGGGGAATGGTCAGTGTATGATCGGTGGGATATGTGGAGCGACGTACTCGTTGCCGGGCATCCACTGAGTAATGTCACTGGGAGCGCGAGCAAGATATGTGATGATGGGTCCGACATGGCTACGGTTGTCGTTAAATGTATGCTCGCATATAACAGCAGGAGGGACTTACGAGTCAGGCCAAGCGGTCCAGTTCAGGCCAATTTGGGAGCCGGCGGGAACTGGGTTGGCGAAGATGGGGGCGGGCTTCGAGCCGAAGACCCCTCCGTCGGTGTACCCGTTGCACTGGACGCTAAAAGAGAGGCCGCATCAGCACTCGTATTATGAGGGGGAAAACGGGTCGGTGCCTACTCGATCAGAGTGAGGTCCGTGACCGGGCCTGTCCGCAGGAAACGCAGAGTCAGCATGGAATCTGACTCCTCGCAAGCTCAAAACGTACCATTGCCGGGGATGGCGCGGATGATCCGCTCTGGCTGGGGGTTCATGTAGACGTCCTGGTACGGCAGATACCCGGTGTAGTGCGTCGAGCCGACGACGACGTCTTGGACGTAGCCATGGGCGTTGACGCGAGCTGCCCCCAAGGCAGCAACGAGGAGCGTAGAGAGCAGAGAGAACATCGCAGCGGGCAGCTTGAGGTGTACTGGGGAGCCTGACCTGGACTATGCTCCATCGACTCGCGAACGCTTTTATACTGTCGTTCATTTTGTGTTCAGCACCGTCAGTGAGCGACCTACGGTAAAGTCTGAGGTTATTTCGCGGACCGTTGGGTACGGGCCGCTACATCAGAAGGTTTACCGGTCGGGATTCACGAGACGTGCCTCGGATAGTTATGAGGCAGCCAAGACCGCATGAGAAGCGACGCTCGACGGCGTAGCACAAGTATCGAAGGCCGACTCTCGGTCCCGAGGGCCCATAGTTGTATGTTGCACTAGTTTTTCTCCCAGGCCGACCCGGGGGCTATACAAACATGGCCTCATCGCGGCGGTTAGCGAACGAAATTTAGCCGTGTTTATCCGCGGACCCACAAACAAGCTCACCTTCCGGGCCTCGTTCAGCAGATACACATCAAACCTAGAAGCAGGGGATGGCATGTCATCCCAGGCACCACAATTGAGTACCCTGCATGCTTGCACTGGAATGAGGGGGAGGTTTAACTTCGCAATTGCCATGGCGGATAATCATAGGCTCTACCCGGGAGAGTTTTCGTGTAAATGGCTCGTCAAGCGACCGCGTGATATACCTTCTGGTAAGTCAACCGAGTAGCCCTAGGACCATGAACATCTTCAGTGCTTCAGTATATATTGCGGCATGCGATGACAAACGCAACTCGTTAGTGAGCGCTGCGCCGAGCTAGAAGTCCTGGCGTCCGGAGCAGCATAGTCGCAGAGCGAAAAGAACACCAATAGGATTGAGTACAAGTCGTACACGCCCTCGGTTCAGCGATACAATTATCCGCGAATTTCTACCAAGGATATGTTCGTGAGCAACAGTAGGAGATGGGGAACACGAAGACGAGCCGGGCGGTCAGTCCTCCTCGATGATCGTGATTTTCCGCGTGTCGGCGATAGCCACTGGGGGCGCGTCGGGGATCGCGTCGTATGCGTCTTGCGGGTTCGGGCCAACATCCTCGTCCTCGTCGTCGCTGCCCTCGCCCGGCCGCCGGAACACGAGCTCCTTGCCGTTGACCAGCCTCCGCTTCTTCAGCGGTACGTCGGGGCGCTCGCGCGCTGCTTCCGGACCCGCAGTGGGACCATCCTCCTGCCCGTCCTTTTCAGTGCCCTTGCCCTTCGCGCGTTCCTTCTTCTTCTGTCGTTTCGCGCGGTTCTTCGAGGTCTTGGCCTCCGCCTGCTCCTCCCGTTCGCGTTTCCGACGTTCAAACTCGGCCTCCTCTGCTTCCTATAAGTGCGGAATACCCATGTAAGTCATATTTAGTCACATAGATTTGGGGAGAGCGTAGAGGAACAAAAGTGAGCGAGCCTGCATACCTTCTGTGCCTCCTCGTCCATCACTTTCAGTCGCTCGTACTCTCGCCGCCTGCTCGCTTTATACACGTGGAATTCTCCACTGCCTGCTCCAGCACTGGACCCCTGCACGTTCTTCATCATCTCGCGAGCGGGCCGAATGCTCTTGTCCTTCGGGGGAGGAGGGATGTATGCCGGTTTCGCGGGGTCCTTCAAGAGCTTCTCGAGCTGTACTCGCTGTTTGTCAAGAGGTGTAGCGGCATGGCGTGAGCCACCGGGCGCGAGCGAAGGAGACGGAGCGGGAGAGGTAGACATGTTGCAATACGGCGAAGTGGTTGTGGACGAGAGCCACAGCGAGCTTTGGCGCGCCGGGCATATAGGCGGCGCTTGTTTTGGAAGTGTTCAAGCGCCGGGCTGAACAGAACTGGACAATATTGAATCGTTCCGGAGTGTCCACCACAAGACATGATATTACAGATGCTACATACTGGCATAGAAAGCGACAGGAATGACATGAGAAGGAGGTGCTATGCTAAGATGGGCATGAAACCGTAGATGAGAGGACGTGCGTGAGGGGCATTAGACGACTGAGGGTAGGAGTTAGCATCGGCAGAAGACGACGATGAAAGAAAGGGGCGTACGGAGTACCGCGTTGATGCAACCGTCATTTTCAGGGTTGTTCGTGATTTGTGCGTACTTCCCGAATACAACCTTGCCACCAGCGGTGACCATGCCCAACTCCGAAACGTTCACTTCGATGACCGTTCCCTTTGTGAGGACGCCCAACTGTGTGTACATCGGTGATTGAGGGTTCTTCTTCACGCCGAGTATTTGCAGCTGGAATGTCGCTTTCAAGTCGGCTGCAACAGAACGACGGTTAGCTCCTCGACTACACCTTATAGCACAGATGTAACGCACGGTGGGTAACATTCGCCTTCTTGTAGCGGAGAGCCATGGGACGAATGAAACGTTCCATCTTCACCGGCTTACGAGTGAAGCCCTCCCCGACGAACGTCGCCTTCGTGACCATCCGCTTCCACGCCTTCTTCTTGCTCTTGCCCGTCCGCATGACCTTGAACATCTCGTCCTCCGCAATACCCCGGACCTTCGGAAGAGGAACAGCATACTTGGCAGCCTTGTCCTTGCGCTTCTCCTTGATCGCGGTGGACAACGCCTTAGCGTCTTTCTGGCCCTCGCGGTCGAGCAGGTACGTCGGGAGCGCGCCCTCGGGTGCAGATGAGGAGTCCTTCTGCTTCACATTGCGCTCGTCGTGTGCCTTTAGGGTCTTCTTCATCTGCACCTTCTCGGCATGACGCTTAGCGTGGAGGATCTTCGCCTTCAAACCGAAGGCCTTTTGCGCAACCGCGGATGAGCGATGGGCCTCACGAGCCTCGCGCTTGCGCCTAGTAGCACACCATTAGGACATGGTGAGGGTGAGACAGTATAGCTACGCACTTTTTCTCGAAGTAATCCAACCGCCGACCATGACGCTTAATGTGCTCCTCGATGTACTCGTTCTGCAAGAAAACGATTGGAAAACGTCGCCTGTATCACTTTAGGGGTCCACCGTACCTGAGGCTGTTGGGAAAAGTTGGATTAGATTCCCATTACGTGGAACAACCAGGCTTGCAACATACCATCGCGGATCGGGAGAAATGAAAGGAGGTGAGGAGGTGGAGGTGGAAAGTAAATTCGGAGTGGGCGTCTATCGAACAGCAGCCTAAAGTGCGCACGTGACGTCAGTAGGCGCTTTCCGTCCACGTCTCTCGCTCTCGCGCGCAGCCTCCGCCCAGCTTGACACGCGCCCTACCACCTCTTCTCTCCGCTCTCATATTCCCCCCTCACACTCGGCAGAATGTGGCAAGACAACAACGCCGCGTATGGCGCGTCGTCTTCGCAGAACCCGTACTACCCCCAGCAGGCGGTCGCCCCGCAACCAGGCGTGCCTCTCCAGTTCTACGCGCCCAGCCCTGTCGGCAGCACCTTCTATAGCGGCTCGCGCTCGAGTCTTGAGGGCCACGTCGGTGCGCAGGGGAGCATACAGCAAGGAGGCGCAGGGTATGGAGGAAACATTCAGCCAGCAGGCGGATGGTGGACGGCATTCGGAACGGGAGGGTTTGAAGGGGAACCGCCACTACTTGAAGGCATGCATCGTGTTTTGTTATATGGGGAAGTACTGACCGCGGCTCTGTAGAACTGGGTATTAACTTCTCGCATATACGCGCAAAGTCTCTTGCCGTCTTGAATCCCCTACAACGAGTGGACGAACACATCATGGATGATGCGGACCTCGCCGGCCCGCTTCTCTTTGTCTTTTGCTTCGGAACCTTCCTACTCTTCGTATGTGACGTACCTAATCTCTCTCGACGTTTACACTTACCGGCTGCATTGGTTTAGTCCGGAAAGCCACAATTTGGATACATCTACGGAGTCGGCGTGCTCGGCTCGCTCTCCATCTATACCCTCCTCAACCTCATGTCAGAAAAGGGCATCGACGCATACCGCGTGGTCTCCGTGCTCGGGTACTGTCTACTACCCATGGTCGCAGTGGGCGCAATCAGTGTTGGCGTTACTCTCGAGTTCGTCTCATTCTCCTCTTCCTCGCGCTGTGCCACGCTAACTCTGTAACAGTGGCATGGTGGGATACCTACTATCGACGCTTTCCATTCTCTGGTGCACATACGCAGCATCCGGCATTTTCGTCGCGGTGCTGCGTATGTCGGACCAGAGGCTATTGCTCGCGTATCCCATTGGACTTCTGTACGGCTGTTTCGCCCTGCTCAGTGTATTCAACGCGGGCGTGGGAGGCGGCTCTGCTAAGTAATCTATCATTGGTGGCCATTTCCTCTGTATCTCTTACGGTCCGGAGCGAAGACATGGAGCACAGGAACTTTCCGCACCGTAAGTAGCGAGGTGATCGCCACTGGCACAGCATTGCGAAATGGGTGAAGCTGCTTATGCCGAGTTCTCCTGAAGCTTGGAAGTCTTTGACATATCCAGCGTTCAATGCATCGTACAGACTACTGGTGCGCTTCCTTTCCTCTTCCTACTGCATCGTGTTTTCTCAATTCCGCCATCAAGTGACAAGGCTAGACCTTCCGCTGCAGACTTCCGCGCCCTAAGTTTAATTGACAGTCCTTGGAAAACAATGACGCCCATGCATTGCCCCGCTCATGTGCCCATCCAACGCCCTAGGGTGGTATGAGGATGTATGCCTGCGCGTTAACGTATGCGCATACGTCTACCCTGGGATAGGGCTCTCCGATACCGTGTTTGCCCCCACCTGCTCGTACCAGTCGTCTTCGGCCCTCTGTTCAAATCGTCGCAACCTAGCTCATCATGCCCCTCCGTCTCGCACCAATCCGCCAAGCGTCGAAGAAGCTCGCCACAAAGCTCAAGCCCATTTGGCTGGGCAAGGGGATGCGCTCCATCGGTCGAGGTGTCTCTCGTATTCCGCTCAAACCCGTTGCCGCCGCTGTTCAGGCCACCGGGGACGTTGGATCCGCTGTACCCTTCCTACAGGGAATATCATCTGTTGTCGCGACCATTCTGCAACGCGCCGAGGTGAGTACCCGCGATGCTTGACTCCGTACGAATACGGCTCAAGGGAACCGATACTAGACGGTGAAGCAGAACCGCAAGGAGTGCAAGGAGCTGGCTAACTTGGCCATGAGCGTCGAGTCTGCTGTGAGAGGGGTCATCGAGGATGTGCCTGAGGATGAGCTGGACGAGAAGATGAAGAAACATATCGCCGAACTCGAGAAGTGCACCTGGTTCACTGCGTGGTTGTTCACTGCGCTAATCACCGTACTTGGACATTGTGGAACGTTGTAGGGACATGAACGGGATCGTTGAGACCATGACGCGCCTGAAGAGCAAACCGGTCTGGCGCCGGTTCTTGCGCAAGGACAAGCATAGCGACGCTCTGGTAGAACACAGACAACGCTTGAAGCACGGGCTGAACATGTTCGTGGTGCGTTCCGTATTGCTGATCATGATCGTTGATATTTGCTGATCCGTAATAATTCACTCAGGTAAAGGAGGTCATCGCGGGCAGGCACGCGCAATGGCAGGCGTCTAAGACGCCCCGTACCTTATATACAGAGATAGGGCGCTTACTCTCACTGCCTTTTTTTTTAGCGCCGTGAGGTAGACAAGAGCATGTAGATCAGCTCCCACCACCCTCTCTCTCATTTGGCTTTGTTTGTAGTGGCTGTGTTAATGTAGACCCCCGTTTCTCCTGCGCCTCCGCTTGGCCTCCGCTGGCCTCCGCCTCAGCCTCTGCAACTCACCTGCTCCAACTCTGCCAATGTGCCCCCCCCCCCCAAGCACCCCCCGGCAAAGGAGTACAGGCCTAATACGCCACCAGAAAGCAGTAGTATGTGGTGCGGATGCGGGTCATCCTTCCGCGCTGCAGCCCGCGCCGCGATGTGGTCCTCCTGGCAATAAGCTTTGCTCCGAGCATTTGCGAACACTGTGATGGTGCCTCCGCGAAGCTCTCGCAAATTCATATATTTCTGGCTCAAAATCTGCGCGTGGGTATCAATCAAATGTATGCATTGTACGAAATGCTCGCGCAGAGGGATCGCGGAAGGGCAGTTGAGTGCGCGCCCTGGCACGTCCCGAATGCGCCTTCGGCACGCGCAACCATCCCACCCAGCTGGGCTCGCGAGGATAGCGGCGTCGGACCCGTATATATCGTTAGTGTGATTGTCCTCCCCTCCTCGACAAGATCACGCATCGTCTGCCTATGGGAGACAAGTATATATCTATGTAGACTTCAGTGATTGGATCCGAGGGCGAAAGTACCAGTAGCTACCATTTGTACTAGGCGATACGCGGCTTCCGCAAACACACAGTCGCATGCATTGAAATATAGGAGACATCGATTAGTGAGTGCTGTGTATGTATACCTGATAGGCTAAGCCCGAGGACAATGGTATGGTCGTTGAAAGGAGTGTCTGTGTACACTGCGAAATGCAGAGCATATCTGAGATATATTAAATGGTAAGAACGAAGGAAGAAAACCAGGCCGGGTAGTAATCCGAGAGTTAGCTTGCCGGCTTCCGACCTGGGGCAGTGGCCTTGTACCATGGTAACGCTGGGGACGAGGGCAGCCGTATGCGAGCAATACAAAAAGTGCGAACACGAGAATCCACTATTACAGCTATAATATAAATCTAGATACAGGTCTAAACCATGTCGAATGCAGTAGTGGGTATGTATACGAGACCTTGAACATTAAGCCGCCAGTCCTCTGATAGATGTAGTGACAATGGTACAATGTAGCTAAGACGAGGATGATATGCCAGTGTGGTATGGTACACGCGCTTCTTTCTACACATCTCTGCCCCGCAGCGGAGGTTCATCGGCCCCGCGCGTGAGCTGCTTGCTGTACAGCTTCAGAAGCGCCTTCATCATCTCCTCCGTCGGCATGGTCGCGTACTCGTGAACGTATTGCGGCAGCGAGTCCTCCAGGTTGAACCCAGCCTTCTTCATGAAGAAGGGGTGCATCACGTCCGGCGTCGCCTCGCCCAGCTGTCTCATCGTCAACCGCTCGATCTTCCGGTCGTGAGGCTCATATGTAAGGCCCTTCGTCGTCTTTGGTGGCACGGAAGAGGATGCGGCGGTGGGGCCAGAGCCAGAGGAGCTAGGGGAGGTCGGATCTGCGGCACTGGCAGAGGAGATAGGTGAGACGATCTTTGACGGCCCTGCGGACGCGGTGGATATCTTGAGAGGTGCGAGCGGGGAGGAGATGGTGATGTCGTCCATAGAATGCGCAGCCAGCGGAACTGTCCTGGTAGAAATTGATCCCCGAGTGCGTCCGCGCGTGCGGAGAGGGCTGACAGCCTCAGAATTGCCAGCATCGTCGAGCAGTGATGCGCCCGCGCCAGCGGGCTCGTGCGCCTTCTTGCGATGAGACAGCACCGCTTGCGCTCCTCCGGCAGCCCCTACAGCGACGCGTGCTTCAGCTGACGCCTGAACCTGTTCCATCTCCCGCGCAAACGTCTTCCGGAGGACCGTGAGCCACGAGTAGAGCGCCATGTTAAGCGAGATATAGATATCGTCCGCGTCCGCGAGTCCGGCCTTCTCGAAGCTGCTCTTGAAGTCGTACGAGAGCACGCGCTGCGCCCCGTCCTGTCTCTCCATACTCTGCATGTGCATACTCATCGACGGCAGACCGAAGATCGTTGCCTCAGGAGACCCCGTCACCACGGTCTTGAGCCATTCAGGACTATCGAGTTGGCGGTCTTTTGGAACGAGCGCATGGCGTAGCTGGCTGATCTTCGAGATAGTGATGGTGGAGAAGTGTAGGCGGAGGTCGCGCCTCGAAGGCTCGATGTCCCCGTGGATGACGCGCTGGAGGCGGGCATGGATCTTCGCGCCAACGAACTGCGCCAACTCGGCGTCCCGCATGGAACGCGGGAAGACGATGAGCTGCAACCGCTCGAGCTGAAGGCTCATACGCTGAGCAACGACGTAGGAAATTCCGGTCTCGGTCTCCTTCAACCGCGAACGCGCAGACCTGAACATGGCATTTGCGACGGCCGAAAGAGGGTTGTCTGGTTTGGGGGCATTTGCGACGCGGAATGCCTGCGACTCGCGACTAGCGCCATCCCGCTGTGCGTCAAGGTTCATGCGGAATTTGTTGACGTAGGAGACCAGCTTGGGGACGGTGCCGACTGTCATGATTGCAAGCACATCACTGCCGGAGACCACGAAATCCAGATGAACACGCCTGTCTTCCGCAGGAACGTCCGAGGAGATCTGGGACCAGTCGTCGTAGATATAGACCGTGATCGGCTCCGCTCTGCGATGGGTCATGAGTGCGAAGACATAATGTTTGCATGAATGGTACATACCGATACCGGATGAGCTCATGGTACTCCGAGTCTAGCTTCACGACGAACACGCCTGTTTTCATCGTAAGATCCAACATGCGACCTCCTGCTTCCTTGGCATATTCGCTACTGTTGCGGCGCACAGTCTGGAACTGGAAGTTGGGAAGGTCGACGTGTCCAGAAAGGTTACCGGAGGCGAGTACGGTGAGTTGTTCGATGGAAAGAGATAGCTCGGATAGAACTTCGGTGATCTTCGTGCGGAAGAGGGCGTCATCCAGTGTGAGCCTGATGCTACTGATCGACTGCCCTAGGTCGACATCTAATTCCACCCGGCGGAGACGTACAAGGACCGCAGTCGTGAGCTCTTGCTTGATAGATGACGAAGACGGCTGGGGGGTCAGTAATGCGCTGGGAGGGTTTGATGGTCGATCGGTAGGTGTTGAGTTCCCGCCCGTAAACACAGGGATCCTGTCTAGCCAGACCGCCTTGAAACAGAGGACGTCCTGGAACCGGGAGAAGCGAATGCTGCCGGAAAACTCTGTGTCGAGGACGACAGATATAGAACTGCTGACACGGCTTTGCGTTGGTTGGACCTTCGCGAAAGCCATCGAGAAGTTGAGGTTGCGGGCGTTGACCTTAACGCAGTCTTCGCTAAGGAAGCCGTGCTTGAGAGCGATAGTCAGCCCTCCGACAGTTCCCGTGAACGACACGCGGCGGGCGCCAGGAGCGATGTTGATTATGAATCCGCCACTATCCCAGTACAAGCCACCAATGACGTTCGCATCGGGTCGACAAGTGAAGTGAAGCTTGGACTGATCGATGCGGAGGCTGAAACTGATCTTCATGCTTGTCACTGGATCGGCTTGTTGGGTACGAACCGGGAGCTCCTCTGTCAAGGCGACTGTGGGTAGCAACCCGTGAGGCCTCGGACCTGGAGACGCTTGCGCACTCTTCCAATTGCTCGACCGCATGTGATCCTCCACCTTGGTCATGATCTCGGTGAGGAACGGCAGAAGGGTAGGTCGGAGGGTGTTCTGACTGGAATGAATGGTGCTCTTGAAGACCAGAGTCGACGGTTCGGCGGTCCGACCCGAATCGCTGAGCTTATGAACGGCTGGAGTCGCACGGAACTCGCCCCAGACGGAGACTTCAGGTAGGTTGAATTCCTCTGCGCCGTTCATATCTTCTCCTCGACCATAGACAAGGGTGGAGAGAAGACCTCGACGGTGCTGCGAGCTCGATTCCTTGCTGTGCATGCGGACCTTCCCGCTGGCGAAGGTCAGCGATGCAAGGATGTTCGAGGTGGGTAAGGCGCTGTATTGAGCTTCCGTCTGAGCAGGTTCTAGATGGGGTTCTGTCTCTGTGCTCGGCGATGGTCGGGAAACAGCACCGCCAAGTCGTTCCACACGGTCTTTGCCTCTTCGGTAGACATCCAGAAGGGACGAGATGAAGTCGGGGATGGTGGAGTCAACGTCGAGAATGAAACCACTGACTTGCGCCCCTATGCACACCCTCCGAGACTCGGCCACGCGCTCCGAGTGGGCTTCGGCGGTCATCTCGGGATAGAGGAGGCGATTGCGGGTTTTATGACTCTCGCCCGTGAAGTCGGCTGGAACACCTTGTCTGAATCTGGAGTGTCCCTGGTCAGAGAACTGTCATGTATACCGCATCGTTTTGAAAGTAAACCCACCTGGAAACGAACTGGAAGGCGAAATTTGTCATCGATGCCTTGCCATTCTCGCCTGCCTGGCTGCTGAACTTCAAAGACTTGATCGAAAATAGGAACGCGCGAACAGCAGCGTCATCGTGGCTCCCGGAGCGGGGCATCTGGAGGTCCCGCGCGAGAGTGAGAGGAAAGGCAACACCGATGTTGGCGATAGCTAGAGAGATGGTGTACAGCTCAAGGAGTGACTTTTCGGAGGCTGTCTGCTCTCCGATCTTCACGTCGAGCGTCCTCATCAGGCTCCTGGTCTTCTCCTTGAACTCTTCGAGCTCGCTGGCGCGCTTCTCTTTGCGGATCAGAACCTCAGCCTAGACGCACGTCAATAAATCCACTCGGATGGTCAAACTCGACTATATTTCGTACCTGCAAGTGGTCAATGAAGTCACCAAGTTCCCCGATAGAGCTAGGTTGCATAACGGCATGAACCTTCGCGACCGAAACCTCCAGGTGAGGGACGGATGTATCGGGTTTCTTTTGCATGTGAGCCTCGAAGTCGACGCGAACGAAAGCGGATCGACGGTCTCTGTCTGCGCGATCGGAGAGGGATAGTCGCGACGCCAGAGAGAGTGAGAGATCAGACAGCTTGACATGCCACAGAGAGTGACTGTGGTTCCCGAGACCTCCGCTGATATCTTCACATTCCAAGAAGACGGTTGTGGTAAGTCCTTCGAGCCCGATACGGAGGCCCTTCATCTTGAACGAGCCGTTGAACTTCAAGGGCAATTTTCCGGGCTTGGAAGTCGCGCATTCCGCCTCGGGAGAGGGTTCTGGTCGTTTCTGACGAGACTGCTCGATGATATGGATGAGGTCGTTGAAGTCTTGGCTAGACTTCTGCTGGATAGAGAGAAGAGTATCCCAATCCGAGGGTCTGACCGTCACGTGGAAGAAGTCGACCAGTGCTAGCCCTTGGACGCTCGCGTTGTCGTGTCGACCGCGGAGCGTGATAGTGGGAAACTCGAGTCTGATGCTTGAGCTGGGGTCAGCATGTGTGTTGCTCCTCGTCTTCGAGATGCTGAAGACATGAGCACCCATCTGCAGTCCGAACAAGTGCGCCCCGCGCCGACGAGTGTCGTTCATCAGGAATCCCAACGTCTCATGAACTTCCCAAGAGAGCCAGGTACCATGCATGACTTGAAGAGTTGCTTGGACCGACGCGACCGTGGCCTGGACTTCGAAAGTCAGAAGTTTTGGGGAGTGTGACGGGTGTGAAGGAGGGGGGTGAGGCGAGGTGGGAGGTCCACGCATTTCAGAGAGTAGCGCACGAACTGTAGCGTCAAGCCCTGGAAGATAGTCAGACCGCCAGCCCTCGACGAACCGGTAAAGACGCAATGCGCTCCGTGGCACTTCCAAATGCAGCTTGCGGAGACCGAGGATAACGTGCACAGTGGTGTTGCGACCGACGTCTTGCTGCACCACGACATTTGTCCTACCGCCGGAGAATCTGAGCGAAGCGAGGACGTGTTCTTTCGTGGGAGCAGAACTGGTCACCGCGCAAGCTTCGATCATTACATTGTCGAACATAAGAGAGTGATTGGTAGAGATGTCCCAAAGGGGCTGTTCCTTGCTCGGAAACTTGGCCAGCAAAGACGACGCATAAGTGACGCCGGCGTTCTTGAAACGCACAATGAGCTTCTCTGTGGCCGCGGTGAATGTGAAGGATCGCATGGAAAGCGTGCAGTCGAGAGATAGGGTGGTCGACGGTTTGCGAGATGGGCTTACGGAACGCGAAGGGAGAGTGTTGTCGAAATGTGAAGTAGTTGGTGTACGGAGATCCTTGAGGACGCCTTGAAGGGGGATGCTGTGGTGCCGATACTCTCGCAGTACGATTTGCATGAACTCGACCGCTTGGGGGTGAACCGTGCAAGAGATATCGTCCAATGTTAGGAAAAGTAAGAGACGTATGAGCTTGCGTCTCTCCCTGTCTCGACTGGAGGAAAGGGGATAGCTCCTACTAGGAGCACCCGCGACGGCTTGGATGAGGTCGACAGGTTGCTTATTGAGACTGATCGTATTTGAGCCGGACGTGAAGCTGCTTTGTGCAGCTTCGTCAGGATGACGGAGCACCAAACGTATTCCAGCAAGAGTCACAGATATTGCGCTGTAGGGAGGCTCCAAACTATCTCTTCTTGCGGGAGGGGGAAGGGAAGGAGCGTGAAGCAGCTCTTGCAAGAGCGACTGTTGGGAGATAGTAGATGAGTCGTCGTCACCGCCAACCCCGAACCACTGGTTCTGGAGCGTGCCGAGGATATCCTCGATTGACGCTTCGTTGTCGCTCTGGAGATGCAGCGACTGAATTGCTAGCCGTTCGCGCTCGTCAAGGAACCTGAGGGAGTGCCGTAGATAGACCAAGAACTTGAAGGTGATGTCCTTCCGCAGCCTGTCAGGCAACCCGTGCTGCACGAGATACGAAGGCTGGATGGTCGATAGTGGGTCCACTACAGATCGTTCACGCGAGTATGCGAGGATGCCATGAACGATCTGTCGGTCGGTCGATGGTGTACGGCTCCGAATCTCCCGCTGAGCCGCTACGAATCCAGCCAGGCACCTAGCGAGAACGACAATGGTAGCGAAGACGAAATCCGGACCAGAATGGCCGATGTCGGTAGACAAGACCCCGAGAGAGACGGTCAGTTGCTCCCGCATGATCGAAACGAGAGTAGGGCCAATCGACAGCTGGCATTGAGCGCTGGGGTCCTGCTTGAACGACTGCCTCGAGGGGGACCGGGACAGCAGCAAGATAGAGAAGGACTTGAAAGCGGCCGCAACATCCCTTTCAGAGTGTCCATTGGATGTCGATCGCAAGCGAGCACGGAGGTGCGTCCCAGCCAGATGGACTTCCGCTACGGTTGCGAACGCGTCTCGAGGTGGAGAGGCTCCATGTTGGGAGGTCGCATTCACTAGTTGTAGAGAGCGGATCTCAATGGACGGTAGTTGTATATCAAGACATGTGATCGCTTCAACTGTGTTCGGCCGACCTTTGAAGGCCGTGATGTACTTCATAGTCAAGGCGTCCATGCGAAGTTCTGGGCCTAATTGCTGTAGATGGTTTACATGAGCACATGCACCAGAGATTGACAGGAAACCACAAACCCTTGCGCTGATGTCCCTCAAAAGCTGTGTCATCATTGGAAGGATGAGCGGGGTGACCCACACATTGATACCACGCTTGTTCGAATGAACGCGGTATACGTCCTTATCTGCGTTTCCGCTCTCCTCGCGTGCGAAGCCAGACCAGTCAGGACCCAATGTGGGTCCAGAGGATATCGCCGTGGCAAGCGCTGTTTGCGCCGAGCTACGATACCATTGAGAAACATCCTGTAGGAGCTATTCAGTGCTGGCAGTCATGATGTGCAATAACTTTTGAACGTACCCGGGTCAGGGTGAATGGCGAAGAGGACCAAGAAGAGGGACGAGACAATAGACGACTCTCATAATGCCTGCAGTACGGGCTGTACTGATTGGCTGAGGGCCACCCTGAGTGCGTGGGATCATCTGCCAGGGATTCAATGACTACATGAGACGTATATAGATACTTGAGCTTACCTTCCACAGGATCTTCGTAGTCGGTCGACCAGTCTGAGACGTCGTCGTCGTCGGATTCGTCACCGCTGCCGGTGTCGTCATCACTCAAGGTGCTCGCCAGGATCTTTGTGGGCCGGAGGTCCCTACGAGAAAGAAGGAACCTTAGCTATAGCGCTTTTCTTTTGAAATATACACTTACGCCAATCGAGCATCCCGTGCAGATTCGGGTAGCGGATCGATATCCGACTCCGATACGTCTTCGCGCAGTGCAACCATAGGGGCTCCCAGACGATCTTGCATCGTCCCAATAGGCGACATCCTTGGTATCCGAATTTGGGGCAAGTAGAAGTCAGTGTCCATAGCCCCTCGCCCTACAAATTCTGGTCAGTCGCGACAAACGCAAACGATACAGGTCATACCTGGCCGCAATTTCGAGGAATCCGCAGGGTCTCCCTCGGCTGCATACAGGATCTTTGCGCGTCCCGTCAGCCGATCCTGCTCCGCGATGAAGTCCGCCTGCTTTCGTGCAGAATCCCGCCAACCAGGAGGAGCAGAGTATATGTCGAGGTCGACACTGAGACAAGCGTTGGCAGCTTCCACCCAGCGGGCACGGTCTTGCTTGGATGCAAGGAGGAGGCGAGCTGTCCCTTCGGGGAGCCGCAAGCTGGTCACCTTCCGAAACTCCTTGCCGGCAAGGTCATTCATGTCCAGTCTCAATCCCGCAGGGAGCGCCAATTCCGCCGCTGCACCATTCGCGAGCCATACGACGTTGACAGATTCGACTTGGATCTTGAGGAAAGTGACTGGGAAGAACGTTAATACCAGTCCGTCTCGTGCTAAAGAAAAATCCTACCATCGGGTTCCGAAGGTATCGAGTATTCCTTTGCCGGCGCGTTCAAGGGATCGGAAAAGTTGAGCCCGAACGCGGAGCCTGCGCTTGACAGTAAGGCTACCTCGTAGGGCTTAACAGATGCCTTCACATCGCCGACATGGATCTCCCATATGCACACATACGTCGATGTCGCCGGTCGCGGTCCGAACAGGCGATTGGCGATGATATCGAGACCTACGAGGAATGAGTCGAACGCCCAATACCATATGTACGAACATAACAACTCACCATCGATGACAAACTGCTCACGCCCATGGTTGGTACGGGAAGACATTATCGACTCGTTGTAGCAGTGTTCGCTGATCCGACCAGAAATCGTGTCGACGTTGGCAGTCATCTCTAATCCCAAGTTTAGCGGCTTCTCCTAATTGGCACCAATAGATACACTCACCCATATAGTAGTCATTCGCTCTGAGGTGCACTTGCAACGTCGGCAAGGAGAGCATCAAACATGGGCCGAGGTCTTCCGGCACAGTCTGCTCAGTCCCGCTGTAGTACTTCTCATATCCCGGGTACCCCACAGGTAGGACCATGAGACCATTTTTCAAATCGAGCCCGAGAACAACCTGCATCGCGTTGGACTGTCGACATGGGATATGAGAACGTGTCAAAACCAGAGAGCCGATAGATTTACCTGCCCCTCCCTGTACTGCAAATGGATAGGGTCGCCGAGTGTCTGGCCGCTCTCTCGCTTCTTCAGATACTCTGTCAGTGTCGAGAAGTGAGTGAATGACCCAAAGTAGTTGTCCCGCAAGATCATAAGGTAGCGAATTGTCCATCCGAACGTCTTGTACACGGGGTCGCGCACCTATCGAAGGTATGAGAGGGTGGCACGCGTACGAACGAAGAATTGACGTACTGAGAAGTCTAGCTTCAGCTGGTCGACATTACTCTGGTTGACGTCGGCGAAGTAGAGATATGAGCCCTTCATGTTCAGCATCCCGATGCGCCCGACCTGGTTCCGGTCGGGGGTAGGCGCCAGACTTGAGATATTCCAGCGGGGCAGCGCTAGGTCGACGTTCACATCCGGGGCCTCGATCCAAAACGACACTGCCGTAGCCTCTGGCCGGTACTTGTTGAACGGCATATGAATTCCGCTCGAGAGGTGCGTGCCCCGCAACGTTAGTAACGCTGATTATGCGCAGTCAACACAGTAGCCCTACGCAGTAATGCATGCACCGCACCGTTCTCCTCCTTGATGGATGGCTTGTCGATGATATTGTGATCGTTCACGTATAGGTTGATGTTGTAATTGTGCAAGTCCAAGTCAACCATGTATATCATCGGAGTGAAAGTGTTGTAGTCGCTGGGAGGGCCGGTGCTCCAATCCTTCCCTAGGTCCGCGAACATGTTGATATGATCGCGGAGAAGGTACAGGCATGGTTGTCGGAGGGAGATCGCGAACGACCACTGTCTGAGGCCATTCCACTTGAGAGGTGCAGGCATGTGGCTACGTACCTGTATGAGCGTTAACAAGAGTGCGACCATAATCTATCTCCGTCTTTACTCACTCGGCAGGTCTCCGCAGTGAGCAGGCGGATGTCGTTCAGACTCGACGTCACCGTGACAGTATCCAAATGGACCTCTAGCACCGACTGGAAACCCTTCGCCGTGGCCACCATCGGAACGATATAGCTGATCGTTGAACTGTCGCCAGCACGTACATGGATGGTCGCTGCCTCGCGCTTCCTTGGCCGCCCCTTGACATCTGCTTTCCCATCCCATTGCCAGTTCTGCACATATATGAGCGAAAGAAAATGATGAGACAGCGAACTGCGTACCTTCGAGGGCTCACGGAACGGGAGCTGGAGTGTAACACCGTCGCGCAGTTCAATGAACAGCTTCATGCCAGTCCACATACGCATATCGCCAGGCTTCAGCCGCGGTGTGAGCGGCGCGTCAGTAAACGTTGGTGGGAAGAAGGCATGCTGCAAAAGGACTCTGCACCAACGTCAAGTTCAGCGTGCAGTCGATTTGATGATGCACGTACCGTTGCCGGTCTGCCCATGGGCCATAGCGAATGAACCCACCCCGAACCATTAGGTCAATACCCCATTCCGGAGGCAAGTCTCCATTCCCGATGTCGAACGGGTCTGGGCTCTCATCCTGCGCCTCTTCTCCCCCAGCCTGGGCGGGCACGATGCCTACCACATCGGCGTAATACAATAACTCAAGCGTGTTCGCCTCTAGTATCTTGCGCTCAATCGCGTACTCAAGCGCCGTGAAATCCGCGCCCAGAGGGGTTGCCTCGTCCAAGCTCTTCTGCTGCTTCCGCCGGCCCCATGTCTGTGGATGCGTGACACCGCTGGGCATGAACGCAGACGTACGGGATGGTGGAGCGGGCAATGTTGTCCAGAGGCGAAGGTGCCCCCAGACACGTTGGAAAGCATCGTAGGAGAGATAGGACGAATGGCGAAGGGGGGTCGTGTCCGAGCGATTGACGTGCTCGTGCGTACGGCGACCGATCTCAGTCATGGGGAACGTGTAGGTTTCGTTCTCGACATAGGACACAGAAGGGGTGTGGAACTTGAAGTTGAACACCGACTTGTAATGGTCGTGCCGTGATCGAGACTGGCATATGCAATGTCAGCGTGTGTCATAGTTGAAAGTACTCGGGACAGATCTACATCAACTATACCGTATGTGCCTTCTCCCCGCTGGAACTCTGCGGCGAGCAAGTTGGGAGTGGACGCGTTTCCGATGGTGATCGCGCCCTTCAGCACCTCGAGACTGATAGGGAGCAAGTCCTTGGGGTCAAGGTTTGGCATCTGCTGTTGGAACCACCCGACGCCTCTCTTGACGAAGGTCGGAGTTCGCTTATAGATGGAGGATACAAGCGAGACGGGCGGACCTAGGATGGAGGCTGCAATGAATCAGTAAAGTGGCTGCACCGAGCTCCGAAGAGACTTACCATCTCGGAAGACCGACGTTCTGCTGAATATCTTCCTTACGGAAGCTGCTCCTTCGGGGACTGGCGTCGGAACGGGAGTGATAGGGATGTCCGGGTCCAGCTGCGACACGATATTGTCGAACGCTGCGGTGCGATTGTAGATAAACCATTCAAAGCCCTGGAGCGAGATATGGACGCGACACGCAAGCGGTTTACCCTTGCCTGTGGTTGTCTCGTACGTCAATACTCATAGGTAGAGTAAAGCATGCGGACAGTACGCACCCGGTGTATCCTCGCCGATGACACGAGCATGACTTAGGTCTTCCTCTTCGGCAGGGCGGCGAAGCCAATACCGCCATGAGATTTGGCCCTTGACAATTCGGACGGTCTGGTTGCTCGAGTGGTAGCGCAGGTCCTTGATGAGAATCCGACCAGTGAGAACGGAGAAGTGTATAGAGCCTACAGAGAGTAGTCAGTTACCTCACCGGAGGAGTCAAGGGAACATGAGATACCTAGCTTGACCCATACGCTGGACTCCTCTTGGTTCCAGAGCGCGAAGCGGGCGAGGAGGCTGAAAAGGAGCCCGAAGAAGCGATTCCAAAAGAAGAAATAGAACACCAGAGTAACGACAATCAGCACGCATACTACGAGCTCTATCACGTTCAGCATTTCGGAGAAGCGTCCAGCAGAGCCCCGTCTTGCGAGAAAGCGAAGTCCGGTAGAGGCTTCCGAAGTCGGTCGCGGTGAGCCCAAACTGAAAGTGTCGACAAACTAGGAGCTGACAATGAACGCACTTGCAAAGACTCCACCACGTGTGTCAGAGCTAGACAACCCCAGCACCCCTAAGACCTCACGACGTAGCGAGACAGAGGTATACAGACAGCCTAGCTTAGCACATGCGGGGAGCAGGAGAGGACCAAGTCATAGGCGCCCATACGCGCTACTCTGACGCGCTTGGGCGCTACCTTGACCTGCTTCTCCTCGTTCGCCTTCGTAGCCCGCACCACTCTCTACGTCTACGTCAACCGTCCCCTTCGAGGCTGTCACTCCAAAAGGCAGAGAGAAACAGGCGAGGAGGATACAATGCAGCCTTCGACAAACGCAGCCACAACTCCTTTGCGACGTCTCGCGCTTCACTCTACAACCACTTGTTCCGCAACTGCCTCCGCATACGGGAAGTGCATTCTCGCGACGTATACCGACGTCCATAAAGACACCTGCAAGGAGGAATTTGCAAAATTTGGTGCATGCTTGCGGGAAGCTGTAAGTTGGCCAATCGTCGCATTCGCTCCGCTCTCAGACCTATCCACAAGCACAGATGAAGCGGAAGTGGTGACCTCGCCCAGCCATCGCGCATACTGTACAATTATGTCCACCGGCCAACGCTAGCAACAAGATCGATACGGTAGTGCGGAGTCCACATGCTTACACCTCATCGTCCGACGCCAGACCTCCCGGTACTCTCCTAGACTCCACAGACTCTTGTCCTGTCCTATCCGAATCCCTCCCCCTCTGCCCCCTCGGGGCGCCGTCTTGGGCTGACTCAGGCCGCCGTGCAGCGGCGCGTTCGCGGCCCCGAGCTGTGGCACGCGCAAGCATCCGTATACCCTGGGACAGTTGAAACGGAGAGGTGTTGGGGAGTGGAAGGAGGTCTTCAGCAGTCCTGGTTGGCGGAGGTGGGGGCACGGGTGGCGGATGTCTCAGACGCTGCAAGAGTGTCCGTAGCCGGAGGTCCATGATGTACTCCGTCTCGCTCTCATGCGATATTGAGTTGGAGGATTTGGAGTCGCTGTCGCCCCGTGGGATGAAAGATATAGGCGTCGTGGGTATCGGTTCGGGTTGAAGGGGGTCCGGGGTATCGGGCGGCACGTCGCGCGCAAGTGACGTTTCGTACGCGATCGTAGTGAGGATAATCTGCAGGAGTATAATGACCAAGTCAAACAACAAGAGGAAGGTCCTCGAGGGAACGCTGTCTGTGTAAGAAGCACCGCTGTGAGCGGAATGGACGTACGGGAGACGCTAACAGTAACGTACCGAGTCCAACGAAATCGAGGATGAGCGACCGCCCCGCCGCTGGGCTCTTCGCGGCATGATTGTAGATGGAGGGGACGTTGGTGGACAGTATGCAGAAGATCCAGAATCGGAGTGAGCGTTGGGGGTCGATATCCCGCGGCCTCGAAAACTGGAACTGGACGAGCACACGACAGACGTACGCCCATATGCGTGGTGAGAGGAGGAAGGAGACGGTGTGCAGCTGATATAGCAGGGAATTAAGCTGCGAGACGATGAGGGTCTGTTGCCACATTCACTAGTTGCGGATGAACTCACAGAGTATATGATATGTGTCCTCTGGGCATGGCGCATAGGCATGACATGTATGGGTGTCGTCGTGGTCGAAGAAGCAGCACGCTCGGCGTCGTCGTGTGCGCTGCCTGCCAGTGGGGAGTAGTACGTTTCCGGGGAACGCTGCTGAGTCTACTTGCGTTTGACGCGGAACGCGCGAGGCAGAGTATAGCTGGGGTCCCCGGGGTCTCTGCGCGCCAGTCGCGTGACCCACGCGTAACTACGCGTAAGCGTCACGTTGCGTCACACCGCGGAATGAGCCCAAGTCGCGTTCGCCACTGCGCCCAACAACGACCACCTTGCCCTTCCTCCACCACTTGCTGCCCGTTTACACTGGTTGGAGCTGTGGACTGCATCCGCACCACTTGAGACGCGTCCAAAACTGCTTTGTTGTGCTTCTGGCCCGCTCAATCTTGCTATCTGGACACCCCGGCTTGTTTGTGGCTAGGTCAGCTCAACACGACTGTGACTTGACCACCATGAAAAGCTTGAAGCAAACGAGGCTCTCCTTCGCGCCTGTTTCAAAGAACGAAACGCCTACGCGTAGTAGCCAAGTCTCTACCGCAGCTACCCCGATGGCCTCGACCGAGTCTCCTGCGAAAACCCCCAGACCAAAGAAGGGTACGCTGGCTACCAACGGGCGCGGTCGCGGCAGAGCCTTGGATTGTGTCGAGATTCCGAAACCTCCCAGGCGGAGCTCCCGCCCCCAAACAGTGCTCAAGAGTTCTCCCAACCGCGCCTCCCCTAAGAAAGCCACAGCGAAGGCTTCAGGCTCTTCTCCGGCGCAGTCCAGAAAGCCTTCGCTCAAGCGCAAATTGTCCCCCGGTCCGGTACCCTATGCAAAAAGGCAGACGGAGGGTGTCCACTTGCCCGGTGAGCCAGAGTTTCCGAGTACTACCAGTGCGTACCACAATCCGATCCTCGTATCCGGAAATGGCTAATTCGTACTAGATTCACAGCAACCCGACTCTGTCAGGCCCTCTCCTCCGAAAAAGCTTCGACTGTCTTCCCCGGTGTCCGACTTGACACCACTGACCTCCAGCTCCGGTTACGAGGTAGACCCGGACGAACTGGTGCCCACTAGCCAGTCCGACGAGCAAGAGCTTACTCTTCCTCGGATCCCGGAGAGAGACCCCGCATTTGTGCAGGAAAGTGTGGCCAAATGGCGGCAGGATACAAATGCGAACCCACCAAGCCGAACGCAGTCACCCCCACCACTGGACCCCATCTGCACGTCTTTCGATGATGTGCCAATGGACGTAGATGCAACGCCTGTCGAAGTACCCTTGGAGACCTCGAGTATGCGCTCTATGCCTTACCCACAGACCCCGCGCTCCTCCAGCGATGGGTGCTCTCACCAGCAGCATCTGGACGACGCACTCGCTACAGTGACGCGTACAGCAGCGTACGTTAAACCTAGTTCACCAGCGGCGACTCCTAGTCGCGTTGCGCCCAATCCTATGGCCTCTCCTTCGGATGCGTTCAGTTCTCTGACTCCTCCACCCTCGAGCGACTCTATCTCCGGCCCAGAGCCGGAAGAGGAGCCTCAAGTCATTCAACCCCTCGATGTGAAGAGCAAGACCGATCAGCTCATTGCGGACATCAAGGCTCGTGCATACGCTGCGGCGCACTCCAGTCCTGAGCAATCGCCTCTGGCCCTTGACTCGCTTAGCGACTCCGATTCGGATTCGGATTCGGACAGTAGCGACATGCGCGGCGGGTTTGCTGCGATGCTCACGAAGGACACGAAGGGGAAAGGGAAGGCGAAAGCGAAAGCGTAAGTCCTGCTCTGTTTGCCACAACGAAAGAGCATATAGTGACACTTGGCACGTTTCCAGAGCAGCGACCCCGTCGAAGTCTGAGTCTGCCTCGGCGCCTCGATACAATCTTCGCCGCGTTTCGCCATCGAATGCCCCCAAACGCTACGCCACTCCACTGACGCAGCAACGGAAGCCTAGTAAGGCCAACCCCCTCGACGGTCTACTCCGCGAGAAGGCTCGCGAAGAGCGCACGGGCATGGGCATGGCGGCCATTCGTTCAGCGGAGGCGGCTTTCGCAAGGGTGAAAGAGGATGCCAAGAAGGGCCTGAAGGAGGAAATGGCCGATGAGGAAGGCTCGGACAGCGACGACGATTGGCGAGCGGGCATTGGGCTTCTAGGGACAGCTACTCGGGGCGCGAAGAAGGCGAAGGCCACGCGAGCGAAGTCGAAAGGTGAGGACGACGATGGCGACGAGAGCGAGGACGAGGCATCGGCTGGGGCAATCCTGGCATCTAAGAGTGGGAAAGCTGTTGGCAAGATTCTGGAGAGCGACAAGCTAGCTGAGAAGGCGCGCGCGTTGGCGATGCTCAACGCAGAACCTGTCGGTGTCCCGCTCTGGAACGTGTCCACCGCAACAGCAGACGTAGACGACAGCATGGACGCCGACTTCGTTATGCCCACGTTCCCTGTGGATGCCGGAGATAACGCGATGTTCCAATTGCTTGGACATGCTAGCCGTAGCAAGGGTAAGTGCTTCAATCCTAAGATCGTTGCCGCGCTAACGCGGCTTGTCTTGGTGTAGATGCTATGCAGGTCTCTGCACTGTTGGCATCTGGTTTCGTAACGTTACTTGCCCCCGAGCAATGCAAGTCTGTAGTTCCATGGCTATTTGAACTCGGTATGTATCTCCGGCTTCAGAAATCATGAGCGATGGACTGAGCGCATATCAGTTTTCTCGGACGTTCCTGCGACCCTCAGCAGCCTCGCATACACCCAGCTTATGCGGCTAGCGCCTCTGCTGGAGGCGCATCCATCTGGTCTGTGCCCTTCCTTGGTGCACTCCGCCCTCGTTCGCTTGGGCGCGTCTCGGTCGACTCTCGAAACGTACGGCTGGATCGTTCCCACAAGTCAGGCAGCCAAGTTTGCCTTCACAGACGAACAGCGTGGCGAGATGGTCTTTCGTTTCGTCTCCCTGTTGGGAGCATTCGCACAGTGAGTCAAGATTGGTTTTCGCCTTCCGCACTCATCCACTAACGCGCGTTTAGCGCACCTGTGGGCGAAGGGCTTCGCGACTACTTCCTCGCAGCGCTACTCGTCGGCATGGACCCTACAGCAACGGATGACCTGTTGATGGAAATCCACAAGACCTGCGACGCTATTGGCTGCGCCATAGATGCAGCCCAGGGTGACTCTTTCCATGTGGTGAGTCTGCTACAAGTCACCAAGCTTGATTACGACGATACTCATCTACCTTGCAGGAGGCTTCCCTGTGTACCATGATCGCCGGGTTCGGGAAGACCCTTTCTCCCCTCAATCAAGCTCGCCTTATATCTCTCTTGCCTTGCGTCTCGCCTTGCACCACCCGCTTGGCGCGCAACGTGGGCCGTTCCCTCCTCATGGAAGCTCCGGCCTCTCCGCGCGGCTACGAGAAGTTGCCAGACCTCTCGCCTGTGGTCCAATTACTCTCGCCTGCTGTTGGCTCTGGAGCATACTTCGATGTTGCCGGCAATGCGGACAAGGAGGGTTACCACGACGAGCTCACTTCTAGGGTGTCATTGCTCAGCCGGGTCTTGTCCGACATTCCCGAGTACACATCTCTGGAAGTGCAGGCTGCCAAGGAGCAGGCTGCGAAAGAGAAGGCTCACAAGGACGCGGGTGCCCCTCCGGCGGGTGAAGCGGAGCAGGGAGAACATCAGGATGGAGAGAAGGAGAAAGAAGAACAAGCGTCGATCATCGAGCAGGTCCGGACGCAACTAGAGATGTTGCACGGCAAGATTGGTCAGTCGACACCGTCTGTCTGTCGACGCCTTACTTACACCATTGATTTCAGTGGATACCCGTGCTGCGCACCTCGACCGTTCGCGCGCGAAGGCTGTCATACAGCGACTGAACCTGCGCGTACACTACCAGCGCACCGCCGCTCTGAAGTCCGGCCCCAGGTCCGGCAAGCCTCGCACCATCAATTCCTTTTTTTCTGCTCCCTCCTAAAGTATCTTGCTTCGGTCTACGCTACATCGTATATTGCCTCCTCACTTCGTTCCCGCCAAGTTCCGCCAGCTCTTGGCTAATCGATCGTAGAACGGTCGTGTCCCGTCCCCGCTGGGGTGGAGATTGTAGCCTACATGATATCATGTCCTTGATTCGACAGTTAATGTTCTAGTGTAGATGCACCCAGAATCTAGTGCCCGGTTCAGTACTCCCTGCCAATACAGTGCGCACGCCGTTGTGTTTTGCGTTTTCTTCATCCACCTCTCCGTTTCAAACTTGCAAATCAAGCTGAGACGCCTAAACGCCTTTACCGGACCGTTCGTCCGATGTGGCTAAAGCGGTGCGGTTCTGCGCGCTCCGAGCCGGCTCGAATATTGCTCCTTCCGCCGTCATCCACGAACGGTCAAACAGCATACTAAGCCAGGTACCGATGTTCAGACGACATAAGAGCCCATGTATCATGCTAACAGAGGCAGTAGTGTATCATAGAAACATTCGATCGTGTGCAGAGAAGCCAATTGTTGCCAATATCTAGCGTCCTACGGCGGGCTACTGGCAGCCACAACAACATCTCATCATGAACTTCGTGTGTCAGCAGTGCAAGCAACCTCTACATGTGAGCGATGGTGGTTACATATAAGACAACAATACTCACTCTGACGCGATACAGCTCGATGCCTCGCTCGTAGATCTTTCTCCGTCGGCGTATGACCTCGTCGCGTCATCCCTGCCCCCCGCACCTTCAGCCTCGCATGGCCGGCAGGCGTCTGGGGCAGAGAAACTGGCCCAGCTTCCCGCACCTCCATCCGCGAAGTCTGCGTGGAGGAATTCCGTGCAAGGGACACCGTCCTCCCCAGCAACGTCCTCCTCGCAGCGGAGACAGTCGCAGCAGGCCCCGATGCTTCCAAGCGAATCGTTTGTGCTGCTCCAGGACAGCGTAATCCGCAACATCCCTTCGCAACTGCCCCAGACCACGCCTGGAAAGCGAGCCTCTCTCACCAAAGGTCGTGCAACGGCGCCCGCACAGCCAGCGCCGCCCCCAGAGGAGCCTACACACCCGAATCCTTCGCCTCTCTCGCACCACCTCCGCTCATCACTCCGGCTATTCAACCTCCTCTCGAGCCGAACAGACCTCGATCACCCTCTCTGTGCGGAATGCACTCACATCTTGCTTGGAACGCTCACGCGACAGCTTGAGGAGACGAAGAAAGAGCGAGACGGGTACATCGCGTTCGAGAAGGAGGTAAAGAAGGAGAAAGACCGGGAGGGCTCTGGAGTAAACCGGCTCGAGGCGGAGGCGAAGATCGACCGCCTCAAGGAGGAAGAACGACTTGCGATCGAGCAGTTGAAGTCAGCAGAACGGGAGCGACAGCAACTGGAGGACGAGTTGAAGAGCCTCGAGCGGGAAGAGAAGGCTCTCGAAGAGGAGGAAGCAGAGTTCGTCACCATAACCCGTTCAGCAGCATACATGCAGCTGACGAGTCTTGTGCAGGTTCTGGCGACAGCACAACGCGCACTTGTTGAAGTCCGCGGAACAGGCGTCACAGCTCTCTGCGCTGCAAGCTGCATTTGCCGCAGATTCCGCGACGCTTGATAAGCTCGAGCGAACCAACGTGTACAACGACGCCTTCTGTATCGGGCACGACGGCGTGTTTGGGACGATCAACGGGCTTCGTCTGGGGCGAGTTCCTGGTGTACCCGTACGTCGTCTGCCTCTCTTCCTTGACAGCTGGACTGAGTGCTCCCCAGGTCGAATGGGCGGAGATCAACGCGGCATGGGGACAGACGCTTTTGCTACTCTACACCATCGCTCGCAAGCTTGACTTCACCTTCGAGAAGTATGGTCTGACTTCGTGAGTTAGCGTTCACGTTTAACCTTGTTGCATAGCTACCGCCTCGTTCCAATGGGCTCCTTCTCTCGCATCGAGAAGACGACAGGGGACAAGGCAACCTACGAGCTCTACGGCTCGGGCGACCTTCACTTTGGCCGACTCCTGCACAACCGCCGCTTCGACTTTGCCATGGTGGCGTTTCTGGATTGCCTGAAGCAGCTCATGGACTATGTACGGTCACAGGACCCGCAAGTTGATTTCCCTCATCAGTCAGTCGCTCCTCTATATCCTCGGGCTGTGTGTACTGACTGCGACTGGTGACACGCAGGGTTGTGAAAGACAAGATTGGAGAAGCGTCCGTCAAGCAGCAATTCAGTCAGGAAGAAGCGTGGACACGCGCTCTGCGGCACGTCTTATTGGCACTGAAGATCCTGCTCAAATGGACGACGAACGGGAGCAATGGCTGATAGAATCGCGGTGTTAGTATTTGGCGCTACCTGACCCACTTCTATCCGTCATTTCCCACTCCTTTCGACGGCGAGGTGATGACCATGCTCGGCACGCGTGAGCGGACTTTTGTACAGAACATCTTCGCGCGCATACCAGCGTTTGTGATTCAATTGTTTGGATGGAATCACGTTTACTACACGTACTTGCATGTCCGACCGGGACGCTGAGTGCATTTCTAATCTGTGGGCTCTATCTCGCTACAGACGATCAGGAACGCGGCGCGCACGTTTACGTCTCAAGCGGCGCGGCACATGCGGCCGGCTTCTGAGTATGTATCGCCGTTCATCGTGGTGTACGCCGACGCCGGTCTTCGTCATCTGTGCGCTCACGACCGCCGTCCTCGACACCGGGTGCGTACCGCGCTCGGCCTTGGACGAGCGCACCCATGGTTGAGAAGGACGAGGAGGAGGGGGGAGCCGCGGGAACCGGACCGGTTCAGCTCTGCGCACGAGTCGGATTTCAATTGCCCACTCTTGCACCATAGCTGAGTAAGGCCTGCTGGGTTCCCGCACTGGGCACTCAGCAGTTTGTCATCTCATCTTTTCCTCGCCGCTATATCGACCCTCTTCTCCGGACACGGGCATACTGTCTCTGTGTAATCCACCCCTCTCTTCTGCCTCATGGGTCTCCTGTCGCTCGGCACACCGCTCGCCTGGGATGAGGCCAAACAGTACGCCGATCACGTCAGGACGCACGGGATCACACAGCTCCTGCACATATGGGATCGCCTCAAGGACAGATGTGGCGACGAGCTGCTGTGGGGAGACGAGGTATTTCCAGCACCCGCGCCTGCCATGCTGCGCCGTGCTAATGAAATAAACGTGGCCGACCCTGCCAGATTGAATACATGGTTGCCTCGTTCGACAACCAGGAAAAGCATGCCAAGCTCTCCCTTCGCCAGACCGAGATCCTCGCCAAGCTCCAGGACATCGTAAACGACATTGTGTCCGATCGCGGCGAGTCGTAGGTCGTCCTTGCCTCTCCCGCTTGCGCACCACTGTACAAGTCCCGAACAGTGATTCCGTGCCGACTTACCATCCCGAGTATGGTCGTTTCATGCTCGAGTCCACGCCCGGCTCTCCGTATACCGGGGAGATAAGAGATCTGCTATCTGTAGAGGGCAACATGCGTTACCGGTATGCGCCTCAATTTGTGTGCTTCCCCCGCGAGGCTCACAAACATACGAACGCCAGTCGCCACTTAGCGCGGAAATACCTCAAGCAGAATGAAATACCATTCACTATGACGTCCTTTCCCCGTATGGGCGTCCCGGGCGTTTTCACGGAGCCGTACTTCGACCCTGTCGACGCTGTGTCCAGCCACAGCTTATTCCTGCCGGAAGAGATCACAAACCCCCATGCACGTTTCCCGTCGGTGTTTCTCCCTCTCGTGATCAGTCCCAGGCTCAACCATCGCGTCGTCATAGGACACTTACCGCTAACATCCGGCGGCGGCGCGGATCGAAAGTCGCTATCAACCTCCCGCTATACATAGACACCCACACCCCTCGCCCGTTCGTAGACCCCACAATCCCATGGCAGAGGAATATATATCCGGAGGACTCGGGTGTGTACTATCGAACTTGACGGTCAGGACAACGATGCTTACTCTCCTCCAGAGGCCAAGAAGGGAGCAGCATTTCTCGATCACATTTACATGGACGCAATGGGCTTCGGCATGGGATGTAGTTGTTTGCAGATTACATTCCAGGCCTGCAATATTGCCGAGGCTAGGCGTCTCTACGACGCTCTTATTCCCATTGCTCCGCTTATGGTGAGGTCTGCCCTCGACACAATCGAATCGAGCTAACCTCTCGGTAGCTGGCATTGTCTGCGGCAAGCCCGTTATGGAGGGGTTACATCGCCGACGTCGACTCTAGATGGGACGTGGTCTCGGCAAGCGTCGACGACCGCACGGAGGAGGAGCGCGGGCTGAAGGTATGCTTCCCGTATATGTTCCTAGCGTGTTGATGTATGCTAACTTCTGTCTCAGCCGCTGAATGAGAACAGATTCAGGATACCGAAATCACGCTATGCGAGCGTGAGCTTGTACATCTCGGAGTATTGGATGAACCAACCGGCATATAATGACATAGACGCGCCGCACGACCCTGCCATCTTTGAACGTTTACGCAACCACGGTACGTCGCCAAGCTCTCGGTTAGGTTAAGTTCGTGCTGCTGATCACGATTCTATAGGCGTCGACGACTTGCTATCGAGACACTTCGCACATCTATTTATTCGGGACCCCATTGTTATTTTTTCGGAAAGCATAGACCAGGACGACGCGGTCAATAACGACCACTTCGAGGTTGGTGTCGCTCTCAACCTCCTCTCCACGCGTGCCGTACTGACAGCAGCACAGAACATTCAATCTACCAACTGGCAGACCCTACGATTCAAGCCACCGCCCACGAACTCGCCGATTGGTTGGCGCGTAGAGTTCCGACCGATGGAAGTGCAGCTGACGGACTTCGAGAACGCGGCGTTCTCCGTATTCATCGTGCTGCTATCGCGCGCGATCCTGCACTTCAACTTGAACACCTACATTCCAATCTCCAAGGTACGCCGCGTCCGCCGCTCTCGGAAGGTACGGGCGGCCGTGCTGACGGTCACCAGGTGGACGAGAACATGGCGCGCGCGCAGAAGCGGGACGCCGTCCATTCCCAGAAGTTCTATTTCCGCAAGGGCGTGTTCCCGCCCGGGCCCTCGCAACCGTCGAGCGTCGCATCGTCGTGCCCAAGCACACCCGTGAGCGAGCACGGCGGGCCGATACTCGTGAACGGGGTCAATGGGAAGGAGAAGAAGCTCCGGAACTGCTACCCGCTGCCGCCGAAGCCCGAGGACGCGATCCCGGCGGGCGCCGTCGAAGACGAGTACGAGGAGATGTCGATGGTCGAGATCATGAACGGAAAGGTGCCGTCTGCCCCCGGCGCTGTTGTGCCTGTCAGGATTCTGATCGCGCCTTCGAATAGGGCTCTTCGTTCCCTGGATTGCTCAACCTGGTGTACTCGTACCTGGAGACGCTCGACGTCGACGAGAAGTCTGCGCGGCAGATCGAGGAGTACTTGGATCTGATTCGGCGTAGGACCGATGGTACGCACCCGCGAAGCGTGATATCGAGGCCGAGGACACTGACAGGCCGTGACATATAGGCTCACTGCGGACAGCGGCGAGCTGGATCCGGAACTTCGTGCGGTCTCATCCTGCGTACAAATTTGACTCGGTGGTGAGCGAGGAAATTAACTATGATCTCATGGTGGCTGTGGACGAAATGTACGTACCGGCTGTTCTTTCCTAGAGGCCGGCAGCTGACCGGATTCGGTATCTCAGAGAGAGGGGTCTGCGCAAGGTGCCCGACTTCCTGCCCGCCAATTGCTCCCCCAGACAGTGAACGCGGAAGCACGGGTGTATAGGGATCCATGGACAGTAAGCAGTCAATCGAAGCAATGTATCTTATCGCATAACTGTTGTTTTACTCGCTGTGAATCTGAACGCAATTGTCAAACGGTCGTGATCGGTATGCTTCTTACTCTCCTGATACTCGTTGAGTTATAAATTGGATGGGCTGCTCACCTGCATGTGCTACACAGTACCTTCCCCGCATCTTCGGAAGATCTGCCACCTAAAATCAAGTTGTCGCAATGTTTTCTCGCCAGACCGCAGCGCCAGATGTGCGCCAGGAACTGTGTTCGCTCCGAAGTTCGACGGCGCAGCTTGAAGCCTCGATGTTACAGCTGTCATCTCTGCGGCTCGCCCACGGGAATAGATCGCGCGCCCACATAAGCATCCGGGGTCCTTCCTAACCTCGACGTCGTTTGAGTTATGTCTAGCGTGTGAGTGCAGTCCCACTCGAAATACTAAGAAGGCCAGTCATAGGATATAGCACAACGAGGAGCATCAGAGGTCGAAAATACCCAGCGAATCGTTCATCCATTTCCCGACTGGTCCAGCTCTTATGGAAGTTCTCCATGTCTCAGTTGCCGCCGGCTGGAATAGGCGCACCCGGCGGGAAATCATCATCGCATTCGCCAAAGGTGGCGGATCATGGGGTGCGCCTGTGCTAAAGCGCTACAATTACTAAATACGTTCCGTTGCTGTGCACGAATAATTGCCCGATTCACTGCGGGGAGTTGATACGGACGCCCATCAGCCTGATTCGCCGGCGGGCGCGCCACCACCTCGACGGCCATGTGCAGGCTCCTCAAGGTGAGCTGCGTTCCTCGGGGAGTACGGGTAACTAAGCGGTCCACCTCGCAGCCAGGAACTCAGGACACCAGGAACTTGGAAGCATGCGTCGCCGTGCCAGCTGTACACTTGTCACATTGCACCCCGAGCGCGATACGCTGAGCGCGTTCACGAACCTTGATCTTCAAGCACGGTCCCAGGAGTCTGGTGACTGATGGCTGGTCCGGAACTGTCAGGGGCAGCCATCAGTTCGGAGGAGCCGTCGAACCCAGCAGCCGCCGTCCGCGAAGGCGTGCACGGCCACGAGGAGCCCGACGCTCGCCAACGCCGCAGTCTCTCCCTCCGTCTCACGCCTGCTCTTTCCTCTTCCCCCCTCCTGGCTTGCCGTCATGCTGCCCCCGCCTTTCCCTTGGTTCGCTTTCTGGGTATCGTTCTTGGTGACCCTGGCTCGGTCGCAGTCTCCCGTTCAGACTTTCTTTCCTGGAAGCATCCCTTTGGCAAACCGGTCCCCCTACTTGAGTGCATGGCATCCCAGTAAGAATGGTTCTGGGGAGGTGTCCAGTTCGTGGCCAACATTCTGGGACCAGAAGGTACGTGTCTTGTGCATCTGTGGTATGTTCTGACCGATGCTTATAACTTGCAATGCGCACAGAATATTCTGGGTTGGTCAGGGAAAATCAGAGTGGACGGCTCGACGTACAATTGGATGGGGGGTGACGTCGGTCCCCCCAACAGCGGGAATGTCACGAACGTCCAAATCACCCCCACGCGCTCTATCTTCACGATGCAGGCGGGTCCTATGAACGTAACCGTCACTTACCTATCTCCGATCGAGGTGCGGACGCTCTTGCCTCCTGTGCGGGCACCCATAATTCATTCCTGAGTAGCCATCGGATTTGGTCCTGCAATCTCTGCCGTTCTCCTACGTATCTGTAGAAGCAACTTCTCTGGACGGTCAAAGCCATGATGTGCAGATATACTCTGACATTAGTGCGGGTAAGCACATCAAGAGGTGTCCGAACATGGCCGATAATGACCCCACGTACAGAATGGCTCTCGGGGAACCGAGCTGGTTCAACTGTCACTTGGAGCCAGAACACTGCGTCGGGCGGCAGTATATTTCTTGAGGTACAACTCCAATCTCCGCAGTCGTTCAACGAAGTGGGCGACCAGCAAGCACAAGATGGTACCGCTTACTATGCGATGGCGAACGTAGGTCATCCGGTTTCTACCGAGAGCACAACGCTGATCTATTGATCTACAGAGGCAAGGCCTTACCTGGCAGATAGACAAGGACACCGTTGTTCGAGGCCAGTTTGGCACGCAGGGAAGCCTAGCGAATACTGTCAGTACTGCGTTCGCCACCATATCACCGTGAGGATTTTTCAACTCCGTACTCTACGTGTTTGTTGAAGAAACCATTTTTAGAGTGTTCACCGTGTATGGCATCTCAGTGGACCTGGGTCAGATCCAGACAACGTCGGAGCCAGTGACTTGGGCTGTGGGATATGTGCGAAACCCCTCTATTGCGTACACCAAGCCCGACTCGACCGTGGAGCAGCTGATGCCCTACTTCACCACGAAGTACGGGAGCAACATTCCGGCTGCGGTACGCATCAGATATTCGGCTTTTCCTCGTTAGTGATACTGACGTGGTCATAGATCGACGACTTCACCGCCGGGTACGCCGACGCGCTCGCAAGAGCGACTGCATTCGACGCGGCGGTCATTGCAAACGCATCGGCGGTGTCCTCAGAATACGTTGATCTTGTTTCCCTCGCTGCCCGACAGAGCCTGAGCACCCTGGATATCACAGTCTCGAAAGACTCGAACGGGAACCCGAACGCCTCAGATGTGCGGATCTTCATGAAAGATATCGGATCCAGCGTAACAACAGCGTATGTGCGCGTCGTTCTTCCTCTGACGCTAACTACTCACCTCAGATATGCAGACGTATCAATCCTGTGGAGAGGATATTTGCTGCACTACCCACCCTGCTTTACGTCAATGCGTCATGGGTCGGACCGTTGCTAGCACCCATCCTGGACGCCCAGGATGCTATAACAAGTGCGATGCAGTATGCTGCGCAAGATATCGGTGAGCCCCATGGGACATTTTTCTCGTGACGATCGCTGACTGCGATCGTAGGCACTGCGTATCCCAACGCAACAGGCACGCATGGGCTCCACAACCAAGGAATCGAGCGTGGGTGGTTCCTGTTCGAAGTTAGAAGCTCGAGTAGCTGATGAAGATACAGAAACTGGCAACATGCTGATCATGTTATACGCGCATGCTAGGTTCTCCGGAGACGGTTCGTTGCTACAGAAACACGTGCGTAATCGTTATCCGTGCTCCTCGAAAGTTGCCTCTAACGTGCCGTAGTACAACCTGACGAAGATTTGGGCCGACTATCTGGTCGGCACCACGCTTACTCCATCCAGCCAGTACGTGAAGTGCATCGCAGTGTGGAGCATTCTCGTCTGACCCACCTTCGTAGATCGGATGCCGACGGCGAGGCCAGCGCAAATATGACCAACCTCGCGATCAAAGGGATTATCGGCGTGAAGGCGATGGCACAGATTAGTCATGCAGTGGGCAACGACGCTGATGGGCAGCAGTATGACGTGCGTCAGATATTGCCAAGTCTGCGCGCATTCATCTGACAGTATGATGCTTAGAGCCACGCCGCCGCTCTCGTTGGGCAATGGCAGTCGCTCGCGCTTTCATCCGACCAGAAGCACCTTCTCCGGGTCTACAACGACCAGACGTCGTGGGCGTTGATGTATAATCTATATGCCGACCGTCTGTTGGGTACCAACCTCGTCAGCGACACAGTACATTGCACTTCTTGCCTTCTTTGCTCGTGCACTAGCTCATGTTGTACCAGATTCTGCAGGGCCAAACCGCGTATTACGAGACTCAACTGAGTTCCGGTAAGCGCACTGCATGGCATAAATGTACATATCGCTAATGTCGGTTTAGTACCCGCATTCGGACTCGCGCTCGATAACTCGGCCTTGGGGACCAGCGCAGGTGCGTCATCGACCGCCCATGCCAATGCAGTCGAACACACAAAACTGAACGATTCTCCGCAGCATGGTTACTGTTTACCGCGGGGACTGTGACCGACAACAGTGTCAGGAACAGCCTTGTCCAGAATGCCTGGATCAGGGCTTCGTCGAACATCACCGCGAACGCGTTCGCCGACCAGTACAACGTCCAGACCGGCGCTGTTACGGAGGGTGCCGCTGGGTAAGTCTCACACCTGTTGTCCAACACGCATCGCGATGTCTAACGCTTTCCAGACCCGCCGTAGGAGGAGCATTCTCGCTCTTGGCGCTGAAGTGAGTCGCATATTCGTCCTGGAACGACGTACAAGCACGCTGAGCGCGCAACATAGCTTGACCCCCCAGAACATCTCCATCTCGGGAAGTTCATCGTCTGCAAACTCGAGCCCCAGCGCAAGCGACGCTGGCCACTCGAGCACTCCTGTGGGGGCCATCGCGGGCGGGGTTGTGGGCGGAATCGCCCTCATCGGACTCATCGCGGTCGGCCTGTTCTTCTGCCTGCGTCGGCGCCGCCGCGACCAGGCCTCAGCGTCTGAGAAGATCGACATCGCGAATGAGCCCCATCGGCCGGCACTGTCGCCATATACGTACTCGACGGAGGACGCACGCGCGGCGTCATACAACACCAGCAGGCTCGAGAGCGGGATGCTAGGCCCGGCGAACGCTTCGGGCCCGCTCGAGCTCATCGGCTCCAACACCTCGCTAGTCCCGCCGACCACCCCCGACAGCGGACCCTACTCATCGCAGTCCTCGAAGATGCGCGAATTGTCCCTGAACGCACGGCTAGCATACGCACAGTCGGAGTCCGGGTCGTCGAACGTGGGGTCGCAGGCAGGATCGCAGGCGGGGTCCGCATCAAGTCGAGAACCGCTGTCGCCCGGGGGGACGCGAAGTACACACTCGGCCTCGCGGAGCGGGGGCGGGTCGTCGCTTTCGCCGACGGACGTGCTCGGGCTGCGCGCGGAGGTGGAGAACCTGCGGCGGGTGATGCAGGAGATCCGGGAAGAGCGGCTCGCGCCGCCGCCAGAGTACACCGGGTAGCCTCGTCGCGCGCGCATGATATGTTGTTCTCGAGCTCCTCTCATCGTTGTTGTGGTCATCTTGGACGCTGCTTGTACCCCGCACATAGATGCTTTCCCCTAACGCCTTAATGCATCTGGGCTCGCCTCAGTCGAGTAAATACTACCGATACCATGCATATGTTGTACTAGTAGCCATCTCGGATTTCAATATTACTAACATCCTCTAGTTTTATGTAGGTGTTTGCGTTTCTACCTTTCCTTGCACGTAATACACACCGTAGCGCTTTGCTACTTGTTGGCACCACCTCTGTAGACGCGTACCATCGAACTCGTACCTCAGCATTGCCTCAGTCGATACCGTGGCTACATGCTGAATGAATCAAGTACCGAGCTCCCGCGACCGGGTACGATGCTGATTTGGCGCCCGTCAGATCAAATCGGTACGAGAGTGAGTGAGACGGCGGAAAGCGCCTTGACACCATCCCTCCCATACCTGTGTGGATCCTTGCAACATGTCTCTTTCAGGCGGATATCATCTCCACGCAGACGTTTCTCTAGCTCTACTCCATGTGGCATCTTGGCTGCCATGTACATGTAACCCGCGCCGATAAGATCGCGCTAACACGTCACCGACTCACCTCAACTCCTCCGGAGTCCTAGATACTCGTTGAACTTCTACCCTACCGCTGACTCCCTAGTGATGCCTTCTCAAAGTCAATGCAAGACACGTCTATGCTTGTTACCCTGGCATAAGGTGGTGGGTTGCGGCTTGGAAGCGCGCATCTGACTCTCATCAGTCAATAAGTGATAGGCCTATAATTGACTTCGCCTCTCCTGCGTTACGCTGCGTACAATTTCGACCTCTTCCAAACGATGACGCTTTCTGATCAGATGCTACGAGCTTCATGAATTGACGCGTTCAAAAGGGAAAGCGGACCGACCTATCGGTCTTCTCGCGACCGTCAGGTCCTCTGCGTACCAGAAGGGTGAGAGCCACGAAGGCCTTCTTGCATCAACCTGTCTTCTCTGCGGCCGCGTGGGAGCGCTTTGGAGGTAGGACCGCGCTATAGGCGGACGAAGGTGCATCGCCAGCGTTTGCGATGTCGCCGTTGGCGCCTTTACTCCCACCGAGCCCTTCTCGTTATCAAATGCCGGCCCTATCCATAAGAGCTGCAACCGTCATCATCCTACGCTCTGCCACGTCGCTGATGTTTCTCAGCCCAGAACCGCGTGTCGAAGGCATCGTGAACATCAACACGGCGTGCTGAGCATAGGATCCATCTCACCATTGTCATATGGAAGCATCGCATCTGCCTCACAACATATACGTCGGAGATGCCGCACTTCGCAAACTCCCAGTGCACGGTCCCGTGTTCGTTGCCTCATATAATGCTCGTCGCTGTCCTCGCCGTGCACCCTTTCCCCCCTCCGAAGCCTTCCCTTCTCGATGAGTTCATCCATGCTTTCGTTTCGTCTCGCCTGTCTTGTTTCCGCGTTCGTGACTGGCGTTTTGGCTCAACCTCCGCCACAGACATTCTTTCCACCAAGCGTCCCTCTGGCTATTCGCTCTCCCTATATGAGTATCTGGTACTCCAGCTCGAACGTTTCACAGCCGCCGTCGAACTCTTGGCCTTCTTTTTGGGGACGAGGAGACCAGGTACCGTGCTTTCCGGGATAAGGATATGACTCCTCTTACGAGCGGTTCACAGGCCGCAATGGATCTGCAGGGAAGCGTCAGGGTAGACGGCACGACGTACATCTGGACGGGGGAGGATAATCCTTCGCTGGGAGCCTCCGCTGCGAACCTTACCAGCATCCAAATCACGCCGACACGCACCATCTTCATCATGCAGGCCGGCCCTATGAATGTGACCATCACATACTTGTCGCCAATCGAGGTGCGAAGTTGTGCATTCCATAATTTATCCTCTATCCCTGAATTGTGTATATCAGCCGTCCGATTGGGTACTCCAGTCCTTTCCCTTCTCTTATGTGTCCTTCGAGGCAAGATCGCTTGACGGCCACTCTCACGCCGTTGAAGTGTATTCAGAGCTCACCGGAGGTACGGCGCTGTTGATTGTCAGTTTAACGGCTCATAACACTGCGCATAGAGTGGTTGTCGAACGACTGGGAGAACAGCGACATTCAATGGACCCAGAACAACACGAACAACGCAGTGTCCCACATTCAGCTCCAAAACCCGGAGAAGTATGCCGAGATCAGCGCGCAATCGCAAGACGGCGAAGCTTACTTCGCGATGGCGTCCGTAAGCCCAGTACTCGGTTTCACTGAGTGAACGTCCGTCTTATTAGACCATCAGCGGCCCGCTCTTACATGGCAAATCGACGGCAACAATAACCCTCGGAAACAATTCCATAATCAAGGAGTGTTGACAAACACCAGCAGTACGTCGTTCGGACCCATCGCACCGTACGTGAGTTATAATCCAACCAATATTATGCTAATATGGACTGTCCTCGCTCAGGAACATCGTCATGTTCGGCATCTCCGTCGACCTCGGCCAGATCCAGAGCACGCCGTCTCCGCTGACGTGGGCTTTTGGAGTCCCTCGCAACCCCTCAATAGGCTACACCTCAGCCGATAAAACGACACAAGACCTGAGCCCATACTATGTGACTCGTTACCCCGGGTCCAGCGGCATGGTACAAGCTGTGAGTGTCGTAGCCGTCTGTTGCAACGCTGGATCAGTTAATAGAAGGTGACGCAGATCGACGACTTCACGGCAGGGTTTTCAGAGGCCCAGACGAGAGCGATTGCGCTGGACAACGCTATCCTGGGGAATGCATCGAGCATCTCGACGCAGTACGCAGATCTAGTGTCGCTCGCCGTCCGTCAGACGCTGGGCTCTTTAGACTTCACGGTATCAACGGGGACTGACGGGAACCCAAATGCCTCCGACGTCCGTATCTTCATGAAGGACACGAGCAGCCCCACGCCGACAGGGTACGCACCTTCTGCCCGTGTCGGCTCTTTCGGCTGATATCTTTGGTCCAGACGCGTCAACCCTGTAGAGAAAATGTATGGCGCGCTTCCCCTGCTACTCTACCTCAACGCTTCTATCGTGGGGCCCCTCCTTGCACCTCTACTAGACGCACAGGACGGTACGATTGGGCAGCCGTCCGCGGCGCAAGATTTAGGTATATACTGCTGGTATGTTTTATGTGGCCGTTGCTGATTTGGATGGAAGGCCCCGCCTACCCCAATGCGACAGGTGCTACTTGGGGCTCTAACCTAGACGTTGAACGTGCGTTATATGTATCGGAAACTCGTTGCATATCGATGACCCTATTATAGAATCTGGCAACATGCTCGTCATGTTGTATGCGCATGCGCGGTTTTCCGGAGATGGATCATTGATACACAGACATGTAAGTGAACTTCATACCCGTCATCCCGGGCAGCGTCTCACGTAACGAAACCCATGCAGTACGACCTTGCGAAGCGTTGGACGGATTATCTCGTCAACAACACGTTGAGTCCGTCCAGCGAACAGTGAGTATCCTTGAAGCTACGATGGCTCGCTGACAGCTGACTTGTGCCGGCAGGGCGTCCCCAGATTCTGAAACAGGAAACATAGCCAACTCGACGAATCTCGCGCTCAAGGGTATCATCGGTGTCAAATCAATGGCTGAGATGAGTCGCGCACTGGGAGAGCAAGCGGACGCACAGTTATACGATGCAAGGTCATCAGCACCGTCGTACTGAACGCTCTACTCACACACTCGCTACCAGGGGCATGCAAATGCGATGGCCGCTTCTTGGCACTCACTCGCGCTATCTTCGGATGGGTCTCATTTCCTGGGGGCCTATGGCGACGAGCAATCGTCGGCGCTGATGTACAATATCTACGCGGATCGCCTTCTGGATACTGGTATTGTGAATCAAACTGTGAGTAGACTCGGAATATTTACACAGCTCTACGCACTGACAACCGCGCAGATACTGCAAAGTCAGACAGCGTTCTACAAGAATCTCCTTAGCTCTGAAGCATGTAAGTTGGTATCTGTGTAAGCATCATATGGCTTGTTAATGGCCCGCCGGCAGCACCCAACTTCGGTCTCCCTATCTATAGCACCTCTAGCGCAACCAAGGCTGGTACGTGTTCACCGGGCCCGTGGTGAGCAAGCCATGCGAACTGATAGCGTCTTATTCAGCCTGGATTCTTTTTACTGCTGCTATCGTGACGGACAACAGCGTGCGCGACGACCTCATCCGTGGCGTATGGAACAGAGCGTCCTTCAATCAAACACAAGGCCCATTCCCAGAGTGGTATGACACAAAGACGGGTGCCGCGCTTTCAAATACTGGATTCATAGATGCTTCGTAAGTCCGGTCAAGGTTTCATTCGGCGCAGGAGCGCTCTAATCTATGTCACATCAACTCAGACCCTCGTTCGGGGCGATGTTTTCCCTCTTGGCCCTTAGGTGAGGATGTCGCAGGGCCCGAATGAACGGCATGTACTGATAGTGCGCTGGCAGCGTGTCTAACACCACTATCATCGTCTCGCCATTACAACAAGGTGGGAATCAGTCAGGTGGGGGCCCGACGAGCTCCGGAGGTCAGGGGGCCTCGAACGATGGACATAAGGCTTCCCTCGGTGCAACCGTCGGTGGCGTCGTCGGCGGTGTCGCAGTCGTGGTGCTTTTCTGCGCAGTTGTGTACTTCATACGGCGCAGAACTCGCAACCGTGGCATGGAGGGCCGCCACAGGCCAAGCTTACCCAGCCTCTTCTCAGAGACTCAGCCAACCACTGACTATCTGGATATGTTGGATTCCTCGGTCTCTCCACCCACATTTTCACCCGGGAACGGGCCCGTGACACTCGCCGCGAAGTCGAGCGGACCGCCCTTTCCCGCGGAACCGTTCCTCTCCCCATCCTCCCCCGCTCGTATGCGCATACCTTCGACCACCTGGACGGCTCGAGATGCACCACCAAGCAGCGCCTGGTCGACTTCGCATGACGGCAGCGGGTATACACACGAGGTCGTCGGTTTGCGCGTGGAGATGGAGAACCTGCGGCGGGCGATGCAGGAGATACAGACTGCAACGGAACGAGGGGCCGACGCGCCGCCGCCCTCGTACGTCGGATGAGGGATCGCGGCGTGTGGCTCGAGGCGTCTCGTTACGGGTGGCCCCGATTTTGAAGACTCTGGCCGCGCTCGCCACGCACCGCAATCCCAACTCTTCTTGGACACGCACACATCCATACCTGTCGTACGCTGGTTATTCGAGTCGATATAAGTACGCTCGCTCATTCATCTTAACTCACTCACTTGATCTCCCCATGTATACCTCTCCTTCTTCTATTATTTCAACGATACCCTTCTGAGAACTGTACCACTATCTGGCAAGCCGCCGCACGGTCAAGAGATTTTATGTCCAAGATGTGAGACACATCAGGAAAAAGCGAATTACCTGTAGCTCCGCGGGAAAGTACGTAGGATCTGTACTCGGTGTAGCTGATGCAGTGCTCTCTGTAGGAGCATGTAGCAGATGTAGTTTGTAGAAATTCAAGATGAACATACGTGGCCTCATCCCCCTTCCTCTATCTGTCATGTGTTAGTGACCACAACTCCCGGCCTATATCACCGTGAATGGACGCCATGGGAGTCGGGGAGAGAGACGGTTCAAGCAAGCGCCTATTCACCGGCCAACGCCGGAAGGCGCCTAAAGCGACGATTTTCGACGCGCGGTCTTTATCGCCTCTTATCATTCCCCTTCACTTTCGTCTCTCGTCTCTCGTCTCTCGTCTCTCGTCTCTCGTCTCTCGTCTCTCGTCTCTCGTCTCTCGTCTCTCGTCTCTCGTCTCTCGTCTCTCGTCTCTCGTCTCTCGTCGCCCCTCTCTCGTCGTCCCTCTCTCGTCGCCCTTCTCTCTCTCTCTCCCTGGTCTTTGCCTCTGCCTATTCGCGCCATCACAGCCAACTTCTGTTTGCATCTATCGAGCTAGGCTGTCTCTTGGCAAGCACTTGCGGACCGTCTGCTCCATCGTCATCGCTACTGTCTCCGTCTGTGCACGTCTCGATGATTCCTGGGCTTCACCTCAGCGGTCATGTTCGGGTTCTTTAGGGCTGGCCTGATTGTCTCTCGAGTCTTCAAGCACGGCGTATGTGTCTCTCTGCTCTCAGCAAACAGTTCCATGCAGCCTGAGTACGTCTTGCTTGCGTCCTTCTCGTCATACACTCGCCTTCCCGCCGTTCAGCAAGACCCTCCCAAGTGTTCATTAGGCTAGGATACTCTGCTTCTGTACTCGTGCTCGTGCGTGTGCTCGCTGCTCTCGCATCAAAGTCTACCTCGGCTGGTCCTCGGCCCCTGTTCTCGCTCGTTCCGGAAGCTGCTTGTTGTTCCGCCTTGTATTCAGATGCTTGGTTCTTGTCTGAACTCGTCTTGAGCTGTGCTGCTGTCTATGCTAGTGTGCTTTGCCTGTGTACATCTCGTCTGTTTTGTCTGTGTCTCCAAGGTGTTCTGTACACATATTTTGTATGTAGATAGGACAATACACGTGTCTTTTCGCATTTATATCGCTCGACGGCGGTTATTGCGTCTGTGTGATATGTTCTATAGCTGGCTATGAGTGGCTATGGTAGCAATGTGTAGCTGCATGTGTTCGCTACCGGCGTCTACAGAGTAAGTGGGCGCAGCTACGTCAGCCTGATAAACGGGGGGATGTCTACGGCGCTACCACTTCTACATCGGTCACAGAGCTCTACGTAGACATCCCTTTTTTTCCTGATGCATTGTGAGCTCCATCTCTTGCTTCAAGTTCCATCAGTTCCGGACATCCCCGAACTCAAAGATACGCGTAAGACTAAGAATTTCTCTGTTGAGCTGATATAGTTCAAGGGCGGACGACTCAAGGACAACGTCTTTGGTCCCGAACGAGGCAGGCCTTTGCGCCGCTGGCCTAACGTCCACTGACGCCCATGAGATTGGATCGGGACGTTATACTGTAAAGATCAGTACATAGCGGCGGCGGTTTTGAGTGTGACCGGCCGGATACGATGCGGCGGAGCGGCGGGGGAGCCGGTGACCTGTGACAGCGCCGTACGGAGCGGCGGTTGTGACGCCATCCACCGCCGCCGCGCCAGCGGCGGCCGGCGCTACGGTGTTTGGTACCTCTGTCACCAGCGGCGGCGGCCTCGGTGACCAGTGACACACGGCCAAAATAGGGGCGGCGGCGGCGGCTGTGACCTGTGACCCGCCGCTATGTACTGATCTTTACAGTAACTCCTGGTGCTCACTCAGTACTCAGCGCTCAGGCTACAAGGTGACCACCATGATCTGACAAAACTCACGATGCAACGTAGCTGTACTGCATGTTTCCTCTCGTTTTCCGCTGAACTATACCTTTCTGGGGCTTATCCTATACGAATCATCTCGTCCTACGGGGTGGCTTGTTCTGCCGTTGACGGACGGCGAGACGGATGCGGTGAGTACTGTGATCTATGAAATAGTACCATTGCGGTCGCAGCTCATGTATGAGATCTTGGGAAAATTTCAGGGAAACCCCTACCAGTAGCGGTTATGTTCGGGCGTCGCTTGTCTCAAGATCCGGAACCTACGGGAAACTGTCAAGCTCGTACTTGCCCACTTGTACCAGTTTCACAGCCTTGCTGGCAGCGCCAAAGTCAGTAATGAATCATCGTGCCTCAGCGACCGTAGCTTACGTCGGAAGCCTGCGCCAACAATCTGCGAAGTAGCACAGCTATTGTGCGGGAAGTCCCAAGGCAACTCTGTACTACTGTCGATCTCATACATTACGCAGCGGTCTGGACATATGCCTTGTCCGGCCTGAAGCTATCTTCTCGGGCTTACCGCCAGCTTACCAGGCAATACGCAACCGTCCACGAAAAATCATTGCGCTTATCCGTATGGTGGGGCGTTTTCGATAGGGCCATTACATCCGTGGGGTATGCACATTAACACTTCTGCTCCCATAGTTTCAATACATAATGACGTCTCACGCACTGCATTATGAAACTTCACTGCGAAGATCCAGATTCCATTACCAGTGGTATTCCCTGTCAACACTACACAGGTGTGCCTCGGCATCACCAGGTCCATCTGCGGCATGTACGTACGAGCTTCAAACTTCCGGCCTATGAAGTCCGGGAACGTCGCAAACGACAGGCGAGTCTTATGCTAATACATTGTCCCCATCATGAGCCTGGTGCTTTCCCCCTACTCACGCACACCCTCCTCGACGTTTTCATTATGTCGTTCTCTTGTCTGCGATTCATCAGCAAAACTCGCGACGCGCCTGTATACCCATGTCGCGGGATGCAGACCTTGCCACCGCATGCATACCTTGCACACGGTGGCGGGGTCTGCATTGGGCGAGCAATGGAGCACCTGAAGCTTGCATACCTCACATCCCCATGCAGACTCCACCGCCGGTTCCGAAGACAGCCGTCGCCGGCGTAGTATGCATGTGCCGGTAGGGTGTGCATGCCATTGTAGAGACCTGCAGATGCACCGAGTATATAGGGCTTTTTAATGTTATATATCACTCAATTTAATAGCTACTGCACGCCAGATGCAGCTTGTGATCACGTCGATCTGATTATTGCAGCTATACGAAGCCATACATGACACTAAACGAACCATTCCAAAGCGATCTATGAGTCGTTGCTAGAACCCGGAGAGAGCGAAGATGTCGACAGAAGGAAGGCCAGAGCGGCGAGCGAGGCCGGGAGACATACGGTGACAAGAGGCAAACGGCAGCCAGTTTCGAGCGAGAGCGATGCGGCCGGGAGAGCATGCAGACGAGACTAGCGAGAGCAGATGATGGTCGCGCCGTGGCGAGCGTGGAAGCAGAGGCGCGGGCGCGGATGTAAGACCATTAGCCGGAGGAGGGACCGGGGCTCGACGAGCCTCGCGGGTGCGAAGAGCCTCTATCAAGCATCGCGCATCAGTATTGCGCGACACCAATAGATCGATCACGTACTGTGTGTGCACGCGCGACGTCGCCTGCCGACGAGCCTTTCTCTCGGCTTTCTGACGGCGCTCGAGTCGGTCCGCTGCAGTCTCTTCCTCAGGCTCCTCGCCGCGGATAGGCACAGCCGGCGCGACACCGTAAACCTGCCTAAAAGAAAGGTCAGCCAGAATGTTCGACGATCTATGGTGTACATACATGTCCCACCACGCTAGCGTCTCCTTGCACCATGGGGACTCCGCGTCGCGGAAGAGGCTGAGGATTCGCGTGTACAGCTCCAGATAGCTGAACTTTCCGACATTGTCGAGCACACCAAACGACGTTTGACTAGTCAGGCTGAAACGGGCCTGCATGAAACGATATCAGTATGCTGCATAGACAACAAACATGCAACTCACCAGGATAATGACATAGGCGATGCTGCGCGGGTTCACGCGGCCAACATTGTACACGCGCGAGATCGGCTGTTTGCCAGCGCAGGGCCCAGCTGCAACTCCGGGTAGGAACGTGTTCGCACGGCCGGTCCACACACACTTGTAACACTGCGCGCTGACATTAGTATGATCCACATCACGATTGCTCCGCGCGCGGCTTACCGCAACGAGCAGCAGGCTCCTCAGAAGGCCGATGTGCTCGTCGCCTTCGCTGGATGATGTTGCTGCGAGCTTCTGGTCGTACAGGAGAGCACAGTATGCTCCCGGCGTGATCTTGATTGTGCCAGCTTTGACGCGCTTGCGGAACCTAGGTGGTCGTTAATAAAGTGCACGCATTTTTCCACATGTACGTACACTTCCGGATCGCCATTGTACGTGTCGAGGAGCTCTTGGGGGCACAACAGACGCACGGTGTAGTTGTTTTCCCACCCGCGCCTGTGCTTCACGAGGTTAGAAGGTGCTTCAGAATACGAAGGATCGAGGTGCAATCCTTCCTCGCGGTAGAGGAGGAGGATGTCCTTGCGGAGCGAGTTCGTGTCGTCCCCTCGGGACGCCCGCGCGAAATGATTAACCTGTAACACATGTCAGCGTGGTCCTTAAGTACCAAATAATACTCACAAAGTTTGTATATGTCACGAGCTGGTCTGCATCGAGCAGGGGTAAGTCTGTCTTGAGGTTCGGCATGACATCGAGAATGGCATGGTATTGAAAGATGTATTCGCGCCTTTCCTGCCGCTCTGTCTCCCTGGGATGACGGACATCAGGTGTAATCTAGTACAGATAACCCCGACACTTACCTAGCCTTCCGCTTGTCTGCCGTGCCCTCAGAGTCGGATCCTAAGTCGGAGTCGGAGTCGTCGTCCGAGTCCAAGAGTTCAGCGCTGGTGTCGGCGTAGTGCTGGCCAAAGACGAGTGCATCGTGCGCATTGACGAATGGATGCACCACGCGGGAGGCCAGACGGGCTCCAAAACGGTAGCTCTTGATCTCGTCGCTGACGCTGCAGGACCAAACAAAGTTAGTAATGTGACTATATGCGTGCATATACTCACGTATCAGAATGGGTGTCGTGGTACATGTAAGTGAGGATCTTGTTGAGCTTCTTCTCGCGCTTGCGAGTGTGTGCGTCGGCTTCCGGGTCCGGGCTTCTGGCACGCTTCCCCGTCAAGACAGTAGCATTAGGCTCCTGTCCGGATGTATGCGGTGGTGCTTCGGGGCGTTCTTCAGATACCTGTACCTGGTCGTTGGCAAGCAGGTTGACCGATGGTGGTGGCGGGATGTTGGCAGCCACAACAGGGACTGGTGGCAGCGATGCGGACAGGGCGGATGGCGTAGGAATTGTACGCGGAGGTGCCTGGGGCTGGAGAGCTTCTTTCTGCTTGCTCTTTTCCTTACGCTTGTCCTTCTTGCTGGCTTTGTCCTTCTCTGACGATCTACCCATAGCGAGTGCGAGGAAGAGTGAGTGCGAGGGAGAGCAAGAGCAGAGGTGGGAGGAGGTCAAGACGTGTCGCGTCGCGTCGGACCCTGACTCGGAGAAGGAAAACTCGTGCACCAGCCACCCATCACGTGAGCGCGCCGATCCCAGCCCCCAACTGTACAGTAGCACCTTGACACTTCGGACAGCTCCAGATCCATTGTCTGGCAGCTTCCACCCGACCGCCATGAAGCTCGTCTGCTTGGCCTGCACGGAAGAGTTCGACGGGAGCCGTGCACTTGCCACTCACAAAGCTCAACACTGCAAAGTCCTCAAGACCGATCTTGGCGCTGTCCTTGCAAAACGGAAGGCGGAAGAGGACATTGCCCGGGAGGCAAAACCTGCGCACAAGCGTGAAAGGCAGGAGGCAGAGCAAAATGCTCTCGCGCTCGCCGATGATATGGCAAGTATTTATAATGTACTGCGCTCACGGTTATACTGACACCTTTGTTCCCAGTTTGTCGAACCGGAGGCAGTAGAGCCTGCGGTTCCTGTGGCGCCTGACCCGGCGACAGTCAGCCGTGCAGGAAGACCTCGCAAGGTCCCCGCAAAGTTCCGGGACCTGCTTCCCACCAGTTACACCGGTCTGCCAGCACACGTCCTCGCTCATCACCCTCCCCCTGCTACTCGCCTCCCCACGCCAGCTCCTGCAGCTCCTGCCTCCCCGCCACCTGCCGCAGAACCTCTGCCCTTGCCCCACGAACACTCTGCCAGCTCACGCGCGCACTCACCCGACGAGCCGGCTGTTTACCGAACAAAGCCAAATGCCTTCAGTCTGTACCGTGTATACACCTACAAGCCTCAACGCACACCGCACAACACAACCTGGGAGGCTGTTTGTGATGAGAGTATACCTGACACGACTCCTTCGTCCTCTGCCACCCGTGCTGCTCCCTCATCCATCAGAATGACCGCAGGCGAGGCTCCTGCCACTCCCTACGCGCCCTTCCCGAACATAACGACTTTCGACATAGTACACTGGCAATCCGACGGGTCAAACGTGAAGTCTAACGAAGAGATCAACGGCTTTGCACAGGCAATGCAGGAGCCCGGCTTCAATCCGACGGACCTTGCAAACTTCGACGCTGCGCGTGAGTCTAAACGCCTGGACACGTATGTCGAGACGACCAAGGGCTCCGCTCTGTCCGCACTCGACGGCTGGATCAAAGGTGCGGTTAGCGTCCAACTCCCAAAGGAAGGCAAGAAGTACGCGTCGGAATCGGCCGCGCCGAGCTTCAAGGTCGAAGGCGTGTACTACCGCTCGCTCACCGCGGTCCTGCAGAGCGCGTATCAACAGCCGTGTGTGCGCGACTGGGACTTCGTCCCCTTCAAGCTCTATTGGATCCCACCTGGCAACACTTCCGGCTCTGACTCTGACACTGCTAGTTCCCTGTAAGTGTACGCGAGTCCCACGACTCCCCGAATCCCGCAAGTACTCTGGACCGGGCTTGTTTGCTCGGCGTACTCGCTGGATGGTGGGGGGTGGTAGAACTCTGCCCCCACCAGGCGCCCGAGGCCCGAACCTTCGGGCGCCGTACGCTTACGTACGATACATGAATGGCGGTATCTAATCTACGGGCGCCTAGATGCGCTAGTTCTCCGCGATTCCCGGAGAACACCTTCTCCTACTGAAGTGGACGTTCCCGTCCAGGCACTAGGGAGTGCCGGTAGTAAGTAAGAACCGTCGGGTTCTTACACTCTCCCTCCCTAGACCCGTGCCGGGTCTCCAAATAATAATACAATGGAGTAAGGGTCACAACTTGGAGTGACGGTGGCACAGTATTTACATGGGTTCCATGTGCTGCACACACATGGGCCCTATAGTACAAGGGTGCGGCGTTGAAGCCGCTATGATACATCATAGCCCCGTTGGTTTCGACGCGCT